AAAATAACACGGTTAGGAAGCCACATAGGCTTATGTGTGTTAGAGTGTGTTTTTGTGACCCACGAGTGTGTGAGCCCATTTGGGCTGCCGTGGCCCCCAGTCTGGGTGGCTTAAACAACGACCTTTATTTCTCACCGTTCTGGAGGCTGGAAGTTCAAGAACAAGGCGCCAGCAGATTTGGTGTCTCGTGGGGGCCTCTACAGGTGGTCCCCTTCTCAGGGTGCCCTTACCTGGTGGAAGGGGCGAGGGAGCCCATCTCTTTTAAGAGGGTTCTGCTCTCATGACCTAATCACCTCCCAAAGACCTCACCTCCTAATATCGAGGTGTGTGTGGGGGGGGGACACACACAAACATTCACCCTACAGCAATGAGTGTCTGCAGGTGTTGTTGATCTTGGGCCCCCACCTGGGCGCCACAGGCACTCCATCAGATTGTCCAGCTGTCTGTTCACATCAGTTGTGTGAAGCCCAGGGCGGAGAAGGGGAGCCACAGAACCTGTCTGTGAACTGGAGCCAGAGCAGTTACAGAGTAATGGGGCCAGAGGAATGAAGGAGCGAATGGAGTACAGATGAGGTCAGTGTTATCATTCAGACAATAAAACAAAGATGGCAGCATGCTTCGTAGAAGTTGGCAAACTTCCCGCTCCCTGGTCCCTCAAGGTCAGCTCTGCGGGCTTTCTCTGGTGGGCGGTGGTTGTTGTGAACACGTCACCCACCTGGATCGCGGCTTATCAGAAGACTTGAGCTTTGCGTCTCACCTGGGGGTTTCGGAGCAGGCCGGGACTTTGCTCTGAAGTCCACTTTCTGCCAAGGCCATAAACAAGTTTACGAGAGCAGCTGGGGCTCCTCGCCAGTCAGGGTTGGCTGCTGTCTCAGGGTTCCTGGTCTGCACCTACATCCAGGACAGGGTGGAATTCCCCGAACGGCCGAGAGTGGGTGGACCCCCAACAGGTCAGGGGCATGGAACATGGAAAAGAAAGAGGAAGGAAAGAGAAAGTTTTGCTTTGCTGAACTCTAGATAGGCAGAATATTATAATTAGAAATTCTGGAAAGATTTAATTTCAGCACACATAGAATTTGGGGTGTGTGTGGTGTGTGGGGGGGTGTAAACACAATCAGGGCTTAGAAGCTTTAAGAGTCTGAGGACACATTGGCCAAAGGGAGGCTCTTCCTGGGTGTTTCCTGGGGGTGGGTGGGCGTGACCTCCTGGGCCAGCAGCACTCTCTCCACTCCCTGCTGGTATATGGAGAGAGGATCTTTGGAGCATTACAGAGAAGAACCGCTGGTCAGAGAGGTAGAGGGAGGCTGGGCTGAGCCAGGTCATGGCCGCCCAGGGAGGGAAGAGTTTCAAGGAAGTAGAGAGGCCATGTGAACGCAGTATCAAATGCTGTAGACCCTTAAGGGAGGATGAGGTCCCTGGTTTGGAATGAGGAGAACTTGAGAGATCCTGGGTCTCTCCTCTCTGGGGAAACCCTCGGAAAGGCTTCTGCCAGCCAGCCTCTGGGGCTTCGGCAGCTGCTGCTCTCCCTGGCCTCCTTCAGGCCCAGGGCATCAGTGTTCTGGGGAGGGGGTGGCCAAATCAAGGCAGTTTCCTTGAGAAAACATCGAGAAAGACACCACTGTCTGGTGGAATTATACCAATGCTCTGATGAGAAGTAGCAGCGTGTCCTTCAAAGACAGTAGGAGGACACTGCGACCATCAGCAATGGTGGGAACCGTTTCCATAGCAATGACAGCTTTTAAACGATTACTGCAGCTCTGTTCCCATTAGCTGGGAAGGATGCTCCGACCCTCCCTGCCATGCACCCCCCCCCACCCGCCCCCTCGCCACTCGCAGCCCTGCCGCTGGAGCCAAGGTAGCAGAGGAAGAAGAGGGGCTGAGCTGAACAAAGGTGTTCTGCTGTGTTTGGCTGGTTCGGTGGTTTTGTTATCGAACAGCCTCTCGGCCAACCCCATCCAAGGTGCCCTGACCGCAGGAATATACAGAAAAGTCAGAGAGAACCCTGACACCACTCAGTAAATATTTCTGGACCAACTTACTTGGATCTTGAATTAAATAGACCTTCAACCTAAATTTATCTTCTCTTAAGACCGTGTGCTACTAAAGAGAGAGCAGCTCTCAGGGGAATAGACCATTACTGTCACTACCACTTACTGTGGTGCCCATCTGAAGAAGACCAGAACATTCTCTCCGAGGGCACAACCCGCCTCTCATTCCTTATATCCTCAGCACCAAGCCTGATCCCTGGTACTTGGCGGGTGCTTATTGAACATTGTTGAAAGATATAAATGAGAAGAAAGTATTTTCTTCTATGATTTCTTCTGCGTAGCCTACCCCACACCACTTTTCAAAAGCATGACCATAGACTTCCCAGGCTTTTGAGCGCATTCGTTAATTCCATATAAGATGCAGGCACAGAGTGCTAAAGGTTTCGTGTAACTCAGATATTCCTTTGAAGGAACATTAAACAACAAATAAAGCCTTCCAAATTGCCTGCTTCCTCCCCAGCCCATTTTCTCATTTTCTCCAAGATTGTTCATGTGTGGACACCCAGCTGTGCTGCTGGTACCGGGGGCCTCTGGCCACCCTTCCCAGTCCCTTCTCCCCATACCCGTGCTCGAAAGAGGGACGACATCCTGAAAGTTACGCTCACCTTCAAATCTCCCTGTATTTCCCCATGCCTGTCCTTTCTCTCTCTCTCTCTCTATGTATTTTCCTCATATTCACATGGATCCGCACACATCTGAAACTGCAATTATAGATTATTATTTGCATCTCTTAGCTGGAATATGAGAGAGCACATTTTAAAGCAAAGAACTAGGGGCGCCTGGGTGGCTCAGTTATTAAACGTCTGCCTTTGGCTCAGGTTGTGATCCCAGAGTCCTGGGATCGAGCCCCTCCATTGGGCTCTCTGCTCAGCGGGGAGACTGCTTCTCCCTCTCCCTCTTCCTGCTTCTCTCTCTCTGTCAAATAAATAAATAAGATCTTTTTAAAAACATAAAGTAATGAATTAGTTGGTTAATGCAGGAGATATGATGTAAATACATAATTCATGAATATATAATACACTAATACTTAGTAAATGTATAATAAGGCTATAATTACAAAGTAGAATAGCCTGTCCATGGATTTAAATTCCATAGCACTCTCTGGGGGCTCAGATTTGGCATTCAAGACCATATTTTATTTTTCTTTTAACTTGCACCAAAGGGTAAAGGGTTTCTGAACAACTTTGAAAGAATCGGGAAGGCACAGGAGTTTTGGATTAAAGACATGCAAAGTAGGTGCACTGCTCACAGCCTGCCCTGCTTAAAACACTGCCCAGGAGGAGATGATTTTTTCTGTCACCTTTTCCATGGGCAGCTGCTTTCTTCTGGATGGACCAAGGAAGGACTCCCACTGTTGTAAGGTGAGAGCAGTCCAGATATGTTGACTTTACGTCAACTACACACCCAAAGACACCTTATGTATTGTAGAGTTTACTAAACTTTGTTGTTGTTGTTGTTGTTGTTGTTGTTTAGGATTTTATTTATTTATTTATTAGAGAGAGAGAAAGCGTGAGAGGAGAGAGGTCAGCGGGAGAAGCAGACTCCCTGCTGAGCAGAAAGCCCAATATGGGACTCCATCCCAGGACTCCAGGATCATGTCCTGAGCCGAAGGCAGTCGCTTAACCAACTGAGCCACCCAGGTGCCCCCTAAACTTTGTTTACTAAACTTTGTTTAGTAAAGTTTACTAGACTTTGACTAGAGTTTACTAAACTTTGTTTACTAAAACTTTGTTTTATACATTTATTCATTATTGAAGGAGGGCTTATAGAGGGCTAGGTGCTCAGGATACAAGACCTTACAAAACAGAGGGAAGGAAGAGAGACTCAGAAAATAACAACGACACAGAGAGAGATGTGATATTGCATAACATGACGTAGTAAAGGGGGAGAAGATGTGCTTATTGGGGGATGCACAGGGAGGGCCTCTCTGGGAAGGGACATTTGAGCAAAGCCCTGAAGGAAGTGAGGGAATAGACCATAAGAATGTTCTAGAAAGAGGGAACAGCCTGTGTAAAAGGCCCTGAGGCAGGGAGCAGGGCCGTGAGCATGGAGTGAGTGCTGAGAGGTGTCGAGAAGGGCAATGGGACTAGGTTGTACAAGGCCTTGGTGGTTAGGGTAACGACTTTGACTCTGAGTGAAAGAGGAGCTGTTGGAGGCAAGACAGTGACATGTTCTGACTTAGGGTATATCCCCATGGCTGCTGAGGGGAGAAACTGGGAGGAGGACAAGAGCAGAACGGGGGGAGTAGGTGGGGAAGGGACCCATTGGGAGGTATTGTGTAGCCCCAGTGAGCAGAGCTGGGGCCTAGACTGACCCAGGGGGTCCGTGGAGGAGGTGGAGGGATGGGTTGGGGTCTGGATGACTTCACATTTTTGGCCCGGGCGATGGGAGGAGCACGGTTGCCATTTACTGAGCTGTCTTGTAAACAGTCTTGCAGCCAGTGCGACAGACCCTCAGGTCACCAGCATATTTCAGGTGAGGAAGCATGCTCAAGCTGCCCGAAGTCCCGAGGGGCAGGACTGGGCCCCTGGCTCCAGCTGTATTAGTTTCCTATTGCTGCTGTAACAAAATACCACAAACTCAGAGGTTTGGGAACAACATGAGTTAATCACTCTCCAGTTCTGGGGGGTGAGAAGTCAGTCAGTCTCAACGGACGAAAATCCGGGTGTCGGCAAGGCCTTGCCCCTTCTGGCCGTGCCCTGGGGTAGTTGCCGGCTGTGACACCTGGGGCATGACCTCCACGGTTTAGTTTCCTCCTCTGGAAAACGGGGACGAGGCTAGCCCAACCTCCCGGGACTGCTGAGGCATTGAATGGAGACGACAGCTCTGAGGGTTGGTTGTCGCTCACATGAATGGGCACAGTGGCTCAGAGCACAGGTCAGCCTGGCTGGGCGCTGTCGCATCTGTGGTAGGGCTCTTGTAAGGGAACTGTTTGCTTTGTTCATAGTGCCCATGGAGAATCCGCGGGGACCCAAGAAGCCTCTGTCAGGGAGGAGAGCCAGGTCTCTGGACAGGTCACACGGCCTCAAGAAGGACTCAGAGTCATGGGACTTCCAGTGCCTGTCCCTGCCCATGCTCACCACCCCCTCCAGGCTGCTGCTCCACCGGACGGCCAGCGATGGCACCAGATGTCCCCGGAACCCAGCTCAGTCTGTGGAGGCTCAGGACACCATGGCCACAGCCCTCAACCCAGAGGAGAACAGGGAGTTTCTCCCCAGTGACCAGAGGCCTCCGCAGGACACCAAGAAGGACAAGGCCCAGAAGCGCGGCCAGCAGGGGTGGCTGAAGACCCTTATAAACTTCATTCTGAGGACGGGCCCAGAGGAGCCTAAAGAAAAGGGCAGCCACAAGGCAAAGGGGAAGGACGGCCTCTCCAAGCCTGCAGAAACCCCTGAGACACCAGGGGACACAGCTCCTAGGAAGAAAGCCCACGACAAGAAGGCCAGCCGCAAGAAACACGGTCACAAGAAACATGTTGCTGAGGAAACCAAGGGGGCCCAAAATCAAGAGGCTGAAGGCCAAGAGACAGGGCTGCCCAAGATGGCTTCTGCCCAGCACTCTAAGGAGGCTGACCTGGGCCCAGCACCTAAGGGTGAGCAGACCATGCCTGGTCACCCCCCTGCCCCACCACCAAGGGCTAGGGTACTCTAAGCTGGGGGTCCCCAAACCTCTCAACAGAGGGGACTTGGAAGGCAGGGCAACCATCAGGGACAGCTCCACTGTGAAATTCCTTTGAGGCAGAATAGCACCGTGGCTGAGAACTTGCCATCAAACCTGGCTGCCACCAGAGCAACCCGGGGCTGGCGACTTTCCTCTCTGAGCTTCAGTTTTTTTTTTCCACCCATAAAATGGGGATAACAACAGTTGCTACCTCCTGGGATAACTGTGGCCCAGAGCTGGCACAGGGTGGGGTTGGGGTGGGGGGGCTTGTGGAGCAGGGCAGGGGATGGGAAGGCCAGGTGGGAGGTGAGAAGGGAAGCCTTCTCACCAGCCCTTGACTTTAATCCAGAGGTGAGAGGACTGTGGGTGGGGCCAGAGAGGGGGAAAGAGTGTGCAGGTTCTAGGCTCGGCTGTATCAGGAATAAACTTGCTCTGTGACCTTGAGCAAGTCCTCTCCCTAATCTTTGGTTCTTCATTTGGAAAATAAGAAAGCTGGTCCCCAAGGTGCCTTTCTTTCCTGACTCTTACTTAGGTCCTGGAGTGGAAGGGCCTGCAGGCACCTGGAGGGAAACAGAGCTTCGCCCTGCTGCACTCAAAATTCACCATGGGTGGTGGTGGTTGTTGTTTTTGGGGTTTTTTTAAGATTTTATTTATTTATTTATTTAGAGAGGGTACACATGAGCTGGGAGAGGGGCAGAGGAAGAGGGAGAGAGAGAATCTCAAACAGACTTCCCGCTGAGCGTGGAGCCTGACGGGGGCTTTTGATCCCTGAACCCTGAGATCATGACCTGAGCCGAACACTCAACCAACTGAGCCACCCAGGCGCCCCCAAACTCACCATGTTTTTAATGAGAATAAGAATGCCTGATTGAAGCAGCCTGTTTTCAAATGGAAACCTTCGCAGGTTTCTGGTTTTTTGGTTAAGCCTAGAGCTCCAGGCGCCTGGGTGGCTCAGTGGGTTAAAGCCTCTGCCTTTGGCTCAGGTCATGATCCCAGAGTTCTGGGATCGAGCCCCGCATCAGGTTCTCTGCTCAGCAGGGAGCCTGCTTCCTCCTTTGTCTCTGCCTGCCTCTCTGCCTACTTGTGATCTCTGTCAAATAAATAAATAAAATCTTTAAAAAAAAAAAAAAAAAGCCTAGGGCTGCAGTTCCTGTTCTGCTGTGAGCTCTGTGCCATTTCAATGTGTTTAAGAACAAAGTCAGAAGAATGTCATGGACACCCCTTCACACCCCCACACATACATTGACTTTCCGCTTTCTTCCAGGTGGGGAAGGTTCTGATCTCCACCAGTCCTTGTCCACTGAGGACAGGGGTCCTGGAGTGTCGGAGATCTCTTCTCAAGCCACAGGTCACTGGCGGGAAGAGGAGCTCAAAAACCTTGACAGTGAGTCAGAATCTACTTAGTGTCCTCTTTCCCTGCAGCTGGGGTGGCCCGTACCAAATGAAATGGATTGTTCTGGATGACTGCTTAGACCTTGGATGGTCCCTTTCAAAAATGCCTGTGCTGATCTTGCTCCTTCTGGTGCTTCCGGTCACATTTACTTATTTTAGAGTTTCACAGAAGGGAGTCTCAGGAATTAGAACAGCCACTGGCAAATGTTCCTGCCTTATGTGTTAATGAGCATGGGCCTTTTTTTTTTTTTTAGTCTTTTTAAATTTATAGAAGGAAGGTGGAATAGGGAATATAGATTTATTTATTTTTTTGGAATATAGAATTTATATATACATTTACATATATGGAAGAGTGGAAGAGTTCTGTGCACACTCATATACTCCCAGTTGTTGACAGAGGCCAATGTTTGCTTCATACGTGTGTGTGTGTGTGTGTGTGTGTGTGTAATTTTGTTGCTGAGCCATTTTCAGTAAAATGGTCCTTCATCCTTAAATACTTAAGCACCCATCTCCGAGAAATGAGTACAGTCTCACGCACAACCACAATACTGTTGTTGCCCCTACTAAAATCGATAGCGATGCTCTATTAATCTAAGTCCTTATAAAGAATGGGCATATTTTAAAAGATAATAAAACATCTATGCATCTGTCAAAGAATAACTAAAAGACATTTAGTTGGCTGGTCTGCAGGCTGTGTGTTTTACATGCTAATTGTTTTTCACACTAGAGGAAATCAGCTGGTAGACTGAGTCAAGGAACAAAAGCCCAACAAGATTTATAAATGAGACAGAAGCGAGGAAGGGAAATTGGAGGGTGACAAAATCTGTAGACAGCCTGGGACTGGGGAGTCTTGTTTGCACCTTCTTTCGCATAAAGCAGTCAGCTGGCAGCTAGCAGAGGCTACTCCCGGGCATATCGTCTCTGGATCGGTGACAGGGGTATCAAAGAAAACCATTTATGTTGTTTGTGGTTTCTCTGTAAAGACTTTGTGGAAGCATCCACGGAACAGGCCATCTGTGTCATGCCTGCTGGGGTCCCTCTGTCCTCTGCCTTAGTTAGGCTGGGTCACCACCATTTCCCCCACTGGAATTTGGCAGGTGGGAAGATCAGCATGAGGCTCCCACAGTATTTCCAAGCACCGTTCCTTGATGGCCTGATAGCCATCTGAGGGAAGCGGAACTGAGATGATGATTCATACTTCACAGGGAAAGAGATGAAGGCCCAGAGAGGTTAAGAGATTCAAGGTCACACAGCTTGCCAAACCCAAAGCAGATATTCACAAATCTGTAAAGGTCAAAGGTAGCAGTGGTATACAGGTTGAACTCATGAAGGACTGACCTGAGATGGCCTGCATAAGAACTCATGCTTTGGCCTTTCCCTGTGGATCTCCCAATTCTCTCTCAGAAACACTAGCTCCTGGGACATGGTGCTTTTTCTCACGTCCATGGCCTAAGGAACTGTTTTAAGAGTGCCCTCAATACAGAAGGACTAAGTTGATCTCAGAAGTCCAAGACTGCCATTAGAAGGCTTTCCTCTGCACCCGGAGAAATGTGGTGCATTTCGCTAATTCTAACTGGGCGCATTTCATTTTCTTCCAGAGGAGACTATCATCAGGATGATAGTGGAATTTCTCCAAGGAGTGGGAGACCAGTGGGAGAAGGAGGTGAGGAGCAAATGGTCTGTGTAGACCCCCGGAGGCTTGCTGCTTCCTCTTCCTCACTGTCTACCCCCGCCTTCCCCTTCCATGCTCAAGCCCCATCTGCCCTTCTAGGCCTCAGTGCTCCCCTGCTCTGGGTTCTGTCACCTCCCTCACCTGGGGCCACCTTGAAGCACTTGGTTGTTCTTCAGTTGCTTCTCAGGGAGGTTTTCCCTCTCCTCAAGGTCAGTCCCTGACTCAGTTTCTCTCATCTCTCCCACAGCGGCTTCAAGCTCCTCGGCCAGAGGTAGTTCCACAGAACCCAGCACCAGCTGTCAGGAAGAAATCCCAAGAGAAGAAGTCGAGTCTCAAGAGAGCCTTTTCTCACAAGAAACATGGCTCTGAGGAGCCTAAGAGAGCAGGGCCTGCAGATGTTTCCAGCCCGGAGTCCCGGCCGCTCAGGAGGCCCAACTTTCTGCCCCTGTGTGTGGGGGGCCACCAGCCCTCCACCTCCAGCAGCCCTGGTAAGTAGGCTCTGAGTTACTAGCAACAAAGCAGCTGCCTCCAGCTCTGGAACCTTCTCCCGGGTTCAAATTGGACATTTTAAGGGCTGCTGTCCCAGTTCTGACTTTTGTTCTGGCCCAAGCAGTGTGGGGAGGACAGTGGGGAAGAGAAAGGGATGATAGCAGGTGACCTCCACACATGAAACCTCACTGTCTAGGCAAGCAATCCAGCTAAGTCCCCAGAGAAGACTGTGTTGAGGAATTCCTCAGCCATCCCCATCGCTTCACAGCTCCAGCCTCTCGACCCTGGCAGGGGGTCGCACTTGCAGGAAGGAACTGCAGCCTGGGACGCAGGACACCTGGACTCTGAGACATGACTTTCTACATCATTCCCCATCTCTGTGCCTGCCTCAGTCTCCTCATCTGTAAAATAAGACCCTTCCGTACTGTGTATCTATACTCAATCAGTTTTCATAGCCATATTGTTATCCCCATTTTACAGATGAGGGAACTGAGGCTTGGAGAGGTCAAACAATGCGTTCAAGTTCACATGGCCCACCAGTGATGGGACCAGGGCTAGACCTTGCCACCTGGGTGGCAGGGAGGAATGGCCTAGCCTTGTCACTTGTCCTGGCCAGGAAAATTTACATTTTAAAAAGGAGGGGCAATATTTTGGACCAAATAGCCCCAGTAGTGGAATTCTGGCCCTGCTGTGTTAATTCATGCCAAGGCAATCAGGCCTTTACTCTCCACACCACCGAGATGCTGGAGGAGGAATGAGGTTACTGGAGGAGAGAGTAGAGGAGGGCAAAGCCCGGGAAAGCCAGTTGTAAGAAGTGCAAGGGGATAAAGGAGCAAGGTCTGGACCAGTACCTCAGAGCCTTGACCCTGACCCCCTACTCATCTCTGCCCCAGCATGGCCTTTGTACACTCTTGCCATGGAGTGGACTTTGGAACATCTGCTAACTTCTCTGTGTTAGCTAACACCCTCACACGGATGAAACACACCCACCATTTCTTCTCGCTTCTCAGGCTCGGAGGAACCCCACATCCAAGAGGCCCTGTCCACAGACAGCGGGGCTCCAAGTCCCTTCGAGCTTGCCACCCAGGCAGAAAGCCAGGGATCTGAAGAGGCCTTGCAGACCAACAGAGCCTTGGAATTCAGTTAGTACCCCCTCCTTTTCTCAGAGACCCCTTGGAAATCATGTGGCCTGACCCCTCCCCACCCAGAAGAGAAACTGGCCCAGAAACAGGCAGTGACCTGGCCTTGACTTCCACAGAGCAGAGCAGGCGGGGTCCAGAGCCTCGGGGCCGTGAATAAGCTATTCAGAGCTAATAAATGTTAGCTGCCCTTTATTGTTATTATAGTGGTGGTTCCGGAGCCCAGCTTGAGAGAGCGGGGCCTCAGGAGAAGTCTGGAGGAGAGGAGGGAGGGGAGGGGCCCTAGGGGCGAGGTTCAACAGACCGGTGGTGCTGTTGCTCTTACTCCCTTACCATTGGCAGAACTGTCAGTTTTGTGTGTCTGGAGAACCTTTGAAGTATCCACTTCCTCCACATCCCCCGTCCTGCCTTGTCTACTTCCCACAGAAACTGTGCCTTGAAGGGGAACTGAGAAGGGAAGAGGAGAAAGGTGCTGGGCCAGGAGACCTGTGGGGACCAAGTCTTTCCAGATGGCCTTGAGACACCTTCTCCTGGAGGCAGGGGCCTACGTTATCTTCCTCACACTTAACGGGTGCATTGGAAGTGCAACCTGGCCAACGAAGAAGTGAATAGATTCCCAGGGAACCAGCTCAGGCCACTTCTGAGGAATTCTGCCTCGTCCCCATGGCCAGGCCTGGGACAACCAACAAGGGCAAGCTGGTTAGCAACCTGGAGACCTGTCAGATTCACCCAGGGAGCCAACTGGGCCTTAGGAAGTGAGGGCTGACCATAGAAAAGCTATTCCCCACACTCAAATGTAAGCAAGCGTTTTGTTCCCTTTTAGAAGAATTCATCCAGAAGATCACGGCCCTACTCCAGGATGCAGAGGAGCAGTGGGGAGAGAAGGTGAGGCAGACATTCCCCACACAGATCCTGACCCTCAGGTGGACACCCCCACTCCTGCTTGGCCTAAGAACTTCCCTGCCCCTCACCCAGTGTTCCATCTTTCCAGAGCCGGGCTCCGTTCCCTCCTTCCCGAAGCCTCCACCAGCCAGCCCCATGGCTGCAGGCTTTTTCTGGACAGGCCTTGCCCTCTGGTCCACAGCAGGGTCTCCATTTGTTTCGGGGGTGCTGGTCTGTTTCCCCAGCTCACTCACAATCTCCTCACAATCTGGGGGCCCTGACTCATTCTCTCATCTCCCCCACAGCAGCTTCAAGTCCAGGACCCAGAGGTGGCCATGGAAAGTCTGCCCCCACCCTGCAGAAGGAAATCCCCTGAGAAAAAGTCCAGCTTCAAGAAAGCTTTTTCTCATAAGAAACACGGCTCCAAGGAACCGAAGAGAGCGGGGGCTGCAGGCGTCGCCAACCCAGAGTCCCGATCTCACAGGAGGCCCAACTTTCTGCCCCTGTGTGTGGGGGGCCATCAGCCCTCCACCTCCAGCAGCCTTGGTGAGCAGGCCCAGCGTTGCCATGGTTACAGAGGCTCCCTCTGGCTCCAGGCCTCCCCCTGCGTGGCCTCAGCCCCAGGCTTGACCTTGGCTCTCGGCTCTGAGAGGGGTGGGAGAGTATGGAGGGGGTGGGTGCCGGGCGCCCACTGGACCCACCACCCACAACGCAAGCCCTCCCTCCCCCCATACATAAACAAATAAACACACAAAAATAGAAAAGTTCAGAGACCCAGGTTGGGTGAAGTAGGATGTGTCCTGGGCCTCTGCTTTTTCACAAATCCACAGGCCAAGGTACACCGCGATTCCCTTGACCTCAAAGGAGGGCCTCCTACATGCCCCTCTCACATGTGTCATCTCATTTAACCACATAGCAACCCGTGAAGTCAGTCTTGTTATTCCCATTTGGCAGGTGGAGAAAATGAGGCACACATAGGTGAAATGACTCAGCCAGGCCTCACGGAGTGAAGGGGAAGCGGGCTGATCGGGTGGGATCCGTTGGCAGACCTGCTGTTTTCTCCCAAACTATGTGGAGGCAGAGGGGGCTGCCGGCAGAAAGGAAGAAGGAGATTTCTGGAGGGGGTGAAGAAGGCACTTTGAGCTGGGCCCTGCAGGGCTGGGGGCTCGCTGAGGAGCCTGGGAAACCAGGACCCCTCTGGTGCCAGTGCCTTTGGACAGCTTCTTGTCGGGAACTGGACCCCTGTGATGTGCTTGTGGATTTGAGATTTTTGCAAAACACACTCACACCATCTCCTTTCTGCCCTCAGATCTGGACGATGTCGAGCTCCAGGAGTCCTCACCTGCAGAAGGGACCCCTGTTGGATCCTCAGAAGCGTTCTCCCAGATCAGAGGCCACAATCCGGAGGAGGAACCACAGCCAGACGAAGTGTTCGAAACTAGTTAGTACCACCTTCCCCTCTCCTGTGGCAGCTGCCCCGGGGCTTCTACTTGTGTGGGTCTCATAGGGTGAATCCGAGCGGGCTCTGGGAAGGTGCTGACAAACACCCCAGGAGACTCCAGCAGCGCTGGGAAGAGGCAGGGCTGGCCTTTCAGCTGGGGCTCGTGGGGCAGAGTTGCAGGTGGAAAGTTCTCATCAGCTACAGAACACCTGTCTGTTCCACGGGGTGTCACTTCACCCCACGCTACCCCCCTGGTTTGTTTGAATCTTTCATATAAAATTCCCAGCTGGCTCTGGGTCTCATAACCAGTGGTGTTCTGGCAAAGGGGCTGGAGGTAGGCCTGGTGGGGAACCCAGATATGCAGGATTTGCAGATTTCTACGGTATAAGTGTTCCCACCATGGCTGATTTCAAGCCGCCACTAGTTTATACCAAAAGGACCACAAATATCCGGAGTATGTGCAATTAGGTCTTGCAGCCCAGGTTGGTGGATGCATTCTTTTTTTTTTTTTTTTTTTTTTTTTAGAGATTTTATTTACTTATTTGACCCAGAGAGACATAGCGAGAGAGGGAACACAAGCAGGGGGAGTGGGAGAAGGAGAAGCAGACTTCCCGCTGAGCAGGGAGCCCAATGCAGGGCTCAATCCCAGGACCCTGGGATCATGACCCGAGCCAAAGGCAGAAGCTTAATGACTGAGCCACCCACACGCCCCTCATGGACGCATTCTTGTTGCATCTGTGGCCGTGGCCTTTCCCCCTCCCTGCTTTCTGATTAGCTGCTCCTGGTCCCAACTCCCATGTCTGACCACGCTATTCAGTAGCCTGGACAGGGGACACTGGGAGGTCTCAGTTTCCCCATCTGTCGAATGGAGCTGAAGTGAGCCTTGACTGGCCAACGTTCTTTCAGTTTCTATAAAGCAAACTCAAGTAAAGCTTTCATGCCCCAGCCCTAGTTTCGGGTAAGATTTTTCTTCGCCCTTCAGAACTAGTCCATGTGCTGTGCTTTAGAGACAACAATATCATCTGTAATGGGAGGACGAGTTGTTGCAGAACTCATTAACAGTCCATGGATCTTTCTTTATTTTCCTTAGAGGAGCTGATCATTCAGAGGCTGGTGGACCTTCTCCAAGAAGTGGATGACCAGTTGGGGGAGCAGGTAAGGGATGTTCAGTACCCCCAAGGCTGGCCCTGGGGGGCCTCATCATCCCACAGCTGAGGCCTGAGTTCAATCCCCATATCTCTGCATCCAAGTGACCTTGGGCTTGTCCCTTAACCTCTCTGAGCCTCTGTTTTCTCTTTTGCAAAATGGGGGGTTATATATCAACTTGACAAGGCTTAGTATATATATAGAAAATGCCAGTCACATAGCAGATGAGATAAACGTTAGCTGAAAATAATATAACACCCATGGGGCTCACCCTGCCAGCCAGGACTTCCCCAAATCCAAATCCCCCTAGAGGTTTCACTCGTGTCCGACCTCCCCGGAAGCCTCCTTCCCTAAGTCCAACCCGCCAGTCCCACTGATCGTGTCCTCTGCTAGCTTCCTTTTCACTCTGCCTCAGCCCACATTTCAGCATCAGTGTCGTCTGCAGTTCTCTCAAGCTTTTAGCTTTTCCCCTCCTGCTGGAGAGCCTATAATAGAAAGTTCCCTCTTTGAAAGCCTCACAGTCTGCTTGGAGAGACAGACACAGATCATGTACGCGGTATCAGATATGAGCACAAGTCATGGATGGGTCATGAGCAGAGCAGCCTCTAGGAGTGTCTCACTTTACCACCGTGATGCACACTGGCCCAACCCCCCACTGCCAGCACCCTTGTCCTTTTGCCTGAGGACTGGTTTCTGGAACAATTATCCACCCACATGGCAAGCCAGAATGATCACCACCCCCCTTACGGGGATAACTCCGAGGAGTATGTTCTACCCCCGCTCCTGGAGTGGCCAGTGAGGACCACGCTCGGTAGCTGGAGTATGTGGACTGCCTTCCCAGCTTTGTCCCAGATCTCCATCACCCGTCAGTGTTTCCCTGCATCACTTACCACATAAACTACCCGCCCCTGAGCCCTTGGAACGCAACCCAGGACACTTAGGTATTAAGAGGGGACAACTGAGAGTGGGAACTGAAATTCACCCAACATCTACTCCGCATGGAACATTCTACATAAACGACCTCACTGAATCCCCTCCCCCAACAATACCGTGCAGGCGCCGGACATCATTACTGCCATGCCCTGACTAAACTGAGGCTCAGGGAAATCCCACAGCTAGTAAATGCTATTTTGCTATTTAAGCCTCCGTTATACAGAGACCTGCTTTTTTTTTTTCTTTTTTTGCTTTTTTTCCCCCACGTTGTTCTGCTGCTTGGAGTTGAACCTCACAGAGCAGAGTCTGAGAGGCTCCCGTGGGACGGGGAGGCGCCCAGCCTGGGTGCATGGAGCTGGGCAGAGGGCAGCTGGCGGGAGGGGGCTCTCTGCCACCATCCCTGATGGCCTTCCTCGTCTCTGCTTCCAGATCCGGCGACACCCCAGCTTTAAGAGGTTTTTACACAAGCTCTCAGACTCCTCCCTCAGGAAGCTGGCAGCCACCCTGCAGAGACAGAAGGCCCACCCTGCAGAGCCGGACAGTCACCTCACCGAGAGAACTTACCACTTTGCCTTCGGCTCGTCTAACAGATTTGCCCGCAACGACAGCCACGCGGTCCTGAGGCTCATGGGCCTGTGCTACGGTCACGGCCAACACAGCTACACCCACTTCCCATGCCGGGTGGCCCAGCAGGTGAGAACCAGTGGCAACAGGTTCCAGATCCTAACAGGACCAGGATCCCTTGCTGGCCTCTCCCTTCCCCTGCTGAGTTCTTGACCTTGGGGGTGGGGCTCACTCAAATGCCACCTCCTTGCGGAGGCCTGGTGAGATGCTTCAACACCCACAGGGACCATTTTATTCCAAAACCCTCAGTGGCCTTAATGGATCCTCAGTACCTGCTTTATTTGGCTCTGATCCCTAATCGTCTGTGCATTTTCATCCTTTTTTGATTTTGGTATGGACCCCTGGACCGGTGCTACTCTCGCTTGCCGTCTCGTTGTTTCATGGGTTGTGCTGTTTGGCTTCCCAAAGTCAAGACCGTCACAAAATTTAAACCTCAAAGCAAAGGAAGGTTCTGTATCAAGTGATGGGTGAGGTAGATGGGGAAGGTCCATGGGCTGTTGGTTCTGGAAGGCTTCCAAGGAGGGGCGGACCTTCACTGACCTTGTCTTGGTTGATTAAGAATAGCTTGGATCTCACTCTTCTGATCAATTTCATGCTCTTCCTAATAAGCCCCTGTGCTCCTAAGGCTCTGAGATGGTCCCTTTAGAAATAATACTTCTCACTGATTTTTTTTTTTTTTAAGTCTGAGTTTTCATGTTGTCTGGTGGATTCCGATAAGCAGTGTTCCCCATCTTTTCCAAAATCACTTAAGATAACCTACCTACAGACAATTTGACCCAGATCTTTAGTGCAGAGGCTAATGAACGAAGGTGTGACATTGAAAGAAGGAAGCAGTCTTGGGGTGCCTGGGTGGCTTAGTCAGTTAAGCGTCTGCCTTCTGCTCACATCATCATCTCAGGGTCCTGGGATGGAGCGCTACATCAGGCTCCCTGCTCCATGAGGAATCTGCCCATCCTTCTGCCGCCCCCTGCTCATGTTCTCTCTCTCTCCTTCTCTCTCTCTCTCAAATAAATAAACTTTTAAAATCTTAAAAAAAAAAAATAAAGGGAGGAAGCATTCTGTTTATTGGCATTGGACAAACAGAACTTCTATATCCAGGGATGCCTGGGTGGCTCAGTCAGTTAAGTGGCTGCCTTCAGCTCAGGTCATGGTCCCAGGGTCCTGGGATCGAGTCCTGAATCAGGCTCCCTGCTCAGTGAGGAACCTACTTCTTCCTCTGCCTGCCGCTCCCCCTGCTTGTACTCTCAATTGCTCTCTCTCATGTGTGCTCTCTCTCTTGCAAATAAGTAAATTAAAATATTTAAAAAAAAAAAGAACTTCTATATCCAAATGATCCCCAGACTTTTATTACAATGATGTCACCATCACGCAAACACTCTGCTTCTCCTGGAATTACCTTTCAAAGTCATGTGATGCATCTCTCAAGGACGCTGATCTGATTTCATAATACTAGTATCCTGTCATTCAAATGGTCTGCTCTATGTTCACTTATTTTCCTGGTGGAAACTCCTTATGACCTTCAACTTCTCTTTCCTCAGCCTCATCTTTGCCCAGATATGGGGACAGAACTCAGATCACTCTATAAGCGATAACCTAACACCCTAGGATGGGTTAGGTTATCGCTTATAGAGTGATCTGAGTTCTTTGTGAAAGATATTATAGAAACAACAGCTCTGACATCTGCAGTAGCCCCAGCTCCATCTTCTGGTTTTACTGACCATTCATTCACTCACTCATTCATTCACTCACTTATTCATTCGACCAATAGGTACTGAGAACCTCCACTGGGCCCTGCTGTGCAAGGTGCTGTGAGGGCCTGAGGAAGGTTCTGCTATAGGAAAAGACAGAATGTTTCCTGATGATGAAATTAAGTACCTGTAAAATGCCAAATTAGTGGCAAATGAGGCCAATGAAGTCATTGGTCCTGGAAGCCTTCCAGGGGGTGGCAGGGATGGATTTTGATGTTGAAGGATGGAGAGGTTGTGGATAGGGAGAAAGGACCAGGAGAGCACTGCAGATAGGAGGTACTGAGTCCAGACCCACAGGGGACAACTAGTGCGCTGTGTTGCTATGCTAATAATTAGAAATCTATTGCTATCAGAGTTGGACCCACACGTTATTGGGGCTATAGCTAAAACCTATGTTCTTTTCTCCTTTCAGAACGTCGCAAGTCATGAAACCCAAAGTCCAGATTAAAAGCTGTGCTTTAAACTCAAGTTCCCTTGACCTATTCAAATAATTGGCAGCTTGAGGCCGGACCTCCTCATGACCTTCACGGATATGAATGAGGACAAGAAGGGATGGCCGTCTGTGTCCGTGTGCCATCTTGGGCTTCCTGAGACTGAGATAGATGAAGCCCTCTCCCACTTAGCTGGACGCGGAAGCCATGCTAGGGAAAGGAGAGCACTGTGCTGGAAGTTAGGAGACCAGAGCACCACCTGCTGACCTACTCCAAACTTGCTGCAAGCCCCCAGACTTGTTTGTCTTCCTCTCCAGACCTTGGATTCGGGCCAAGACTATGGATGCAGCCCATGGGATCCCTTCTGACCCCATTGTGCTCAAGTGTCTCTAAACAAGGCGGGGGGGGGTGTCAGTGCTTTCATTCAGTGGCTAACTACACGCCAGTGAGCTGGAGGCAGTCCTTAAGTCCTCGCTGAAGGAATGAATGACCAGACAAATGAGTGCCAGAGCTCCTGAGATCCAGGCGACTCTGCCAGGCATCCCTTAGGAGGCCTGGGTCCTCCACTGGAATTGTGCAACCCGTAGTTCTCTCTCTAGATTGGGAGGTAGGGAGGAAATGGGGAGCTACCTTGATAGGCCCTAGTCCTGAACATTGGACCAGGGGTCAAGTCCTTCATATAAGAGTACCAACTTACATACCCTTATTTTTTACTATATTTTCCTGATCTGTAGGGTCTAAAACTATGTCTACTATCATGTGGAAGGCTGGCCAGCATTTTCTAGATGTCAATTTCCAGTGAGTCTTATTAGTTGTTGTTGTTTTTTTTTTTTAGTTTTTATTTATTTATTTGTCAGAGAAAGAGGGCACAAGGAAGGAGAGCTATAGGCAGAGGAAGAAGCAGGTTTCCAACTGATCAGGATGCCTGATGTAAGGTTTGATCCCAGGACCCTAGGATTATGAGCTGAGCCAAAGGCAGATGCTTAACCAACTGAGCCACCCAGGCATCCCAAGTCATAGCTTTTTAAAATAAATTTTTGTCTAATCTCTCACCAGAATACCCACATTCATTTAACCAGATGTGCATTCATGTGCAACAAGTAATTTATTCAGTTGACCAGCAGTGCTTAATGTCCGTATGGATTTACAGACACCTCTCAGGAGGTCTGCAGGCCTCAGAGAGAAGACCTATGGACTGGGGATCTCTGGTCTCTCAGAATCCTTCCAATCCTATGTCCTATAATCCCATGTCCAGAGAAGGGATGCTGATGCCTTGTACCTCTCCCGTCTCATGGGGTTTTGCCCAGAGTCAATGAGAAAACAAATGCGAAGATTTCTGAAAATAACACAGTGCCTTGTCCATGTATGTTGTCATTCTGACTATAGCTAAAATCTGGGTAGTTTTCAGGACATGGGGAAAGGCTTTAAGTTGGATTGCCATGGTTGGTTGCATGGGTGTGCACTGCCCAAGAACACCATACCCCAAGCCGTGCTATTCACTTCCTAGACATTGTAGATTTGTGGATTTATGATAGCAGTTTTCTACCTGATGGCAGAAAAGTGTCTTGAGAAAGGGGCTTCTTTTTGTTTTTGTACAAAGGCGACGTGTGGGCTATTAGAGACTCTGCCTTCTACAGAGCTGGACAGTTTGAACAGCTTGGCTCAGATGGGCAATTTGCCAGATGTCCATTATCTACATGCCTGCCCAACAGGGTCATAAACATAGTCATTGGACATTGCCTGGAACACATGGCCATAGGGGAGAGAGTATTAAAATCTAGACTCTCTCTTATTACCCTGATTGGACACTGTATTTGCTATGTTGAATGTGGTGACCACTGTGGGGTAGGACTGGAGACGGGGGTGAAACCAAGGGCAGAGAGAGAGGCTTTGGACACTTAGATGGGACTGGCTTCAAACCTGATGCAAAGTTTCAGGAAGTTCAACAAAGCATTTTCTGTAAGTCATTTGGTTTTATTGCTGATTCTAAGACATGGGGGAGAGGTGATCTATTTATGGATTTATTTCAGTTTCAGGAACACTGCCTCAAAATGCGAAGGATCAGAATCCGTTTTGAAATGAGGGTCAGGAACCTTCTGTACATAGTTTCTTATTTGGGATGATGTTCTTTAAGTTGTATGAGTATTTGGTATGAGTTCCTGATGCTGGCATCTGAGTCTCATTTTTGTACTGTTATTTAAGCAAATAAAGAAATTGACTTTTGCCAAAGTCTCATCTGAATTATTCACAACTCTGTCAAGATGGAGGCCACCGGCCACATCTGGGCCAGTCTGGGGCCTTCGAGGCAGTGAGGGTCAGTCTCCCTTTCCCCACCTGGAGACCCTTTCTGGTTGCTCCCCAAGTTTCCGCTCCTTGGGGTGCCAACTTGTTGAGCCAGTAATGGAGTGCCCTGAGCATCGGAGACCTGGGTTTTCACCTGACTTCCCACAGAATGAGGCCCTGAGGGACACGATACTTGCCTCTGGACCTGATGTTCTACCACTCTGTGACTGTTAAGATGACAGTTAATTGTACATCCAGGAACATCTGGGTCAGTCTTGATTCTACATCGTCTGTTTTATGAAGTCCCTAATTTTGGTGCCCAAACTGTCACTCAGAACTGGGGTAAAAAATGGACAGAATACTGTGTCTAGATTTTGGTCCAGAGAATGTGGTCTCTGCTAAAAGGCTTTAAAGACCTCCTCCCCTGACTCTCAGGTAACACGTGAGTTCTTCCAGAGGCTTCCAGGGGAAGGTGGTACATAGATCGGCTTCTTTCCCAACCATCTCTCCGCTCCCAAACCTTGAAGGCTCACTGTAATGCTCTGAGGAGGGCAGAAGAGGGCAGCACCTCACTTCACGGACCAGAAAGAGCAAGCAGCCCGCTCAAGGTCACATGGCCACCTATAGACAGAACCAGGCCAGGTTCCAGCTCCCAGAATCCATTTAGTGCCTTCCCAAACTATCTAATCCACTAGTTCATTCACTCAACCAATATTTATTGAACATTTACTATGTGCCTGGTCTGATCTAGCTCTGTGCAATACATACGTGTAAAAGGCACCATCCCCACCCTCGGGGAGTTCATGGACCTCACTCATTACAGGATTTTGGTGGTGGGGACATCATTGTGCAAAGGTGGGCAGGGGTCCCTCGACTCACATCACAGAAGTTCTCAAGAGCACCGAGGTACGTGGGAGTCCCTGCTGCTTTGAAAGGCTTTGAAAAGGACGGTAAGTGCCATCAGGGCATAATTAATTTGATCTCTGACCCTGAGAAGTCAGGAGGCTAAGTGAGTAAGTCAGAGATAATGGGGTCTGCCAAGACCTGGTTAGTTTGGGATGTGAGCTGAGTTACACAGAGGTAGAGGTCGTTCGGATATGCTTGTTTGGAAGACCAGAGAATGTTCTGCCCTTGGCCTCTGCACCAGTGAGACCTCCAAGTTCAGAGTACAGTGACTGGCACGTTAAAACAAAAACAAAAACAAAAACAATCCACTAGTATTGGCTTAAAAAAAAAAAAAGGCATTATAAGGAGAGAAGAGCTAATTAGAGTTGCCAAATTTAGCAAATAAAAATATGGGTGGCCTAGTTAAATGTGAATTTCAGAGACACAACAAATAATAGCAATACTGGGGCCATCCTTATACTAAATGAGTCATTGTTTATCTGAAATTCACATTTAACGCAGTGTCCTGTATTTTATCTAGCAACCCTGGAACTAATGCAAGAAGAGTTCTCTTAATTACCTTGTCATGGGGAAAAGGGAAATAAGCAAAAGGAAGGAAAATATACAGGGGGATTTATCAATATCTATAACTGTAACATAACAACATCTGGGCTTTAAACACAGGCTTTAAGTTAGAATGACAATGACTGTTATGTTCCATTCCCCCTTGAGCACCAGGGAATAAGATTCCAGATGCCTCCCTGATCCCGTTCACAGGGCTCAAGGCCTTAGGGCCTGCAGCCACCGGCAAACCACAAGACCACTCCTGGGAGGAAAGCCGGGAGACCGCAGCCAGGAGGACCCCTCTGGGTGGGACTGGTCTCTCCCCACCCATGTGGCCCCCAGGCTGATCCCCCTGACTGGTCTGGGCCACAGAATCAGAGTGTCAGAGAAGGCGGAGGGTGTAGGAACACCCGAGATTTGATTCTTTTCAGCCTCTCAAAGGTACAGTTAGTTAGTAATGTAGGAAATGGGGTTTGGAGCTGACGGCCGAGAAAGAATTCTTGGGGCGTCTTCAGTGCAAAAACGGTGGTTTTATTGAAGCACGGGGACAGGACCTGTGAGCAGAAAAGGCTGCCCTGGGATTGTGAAGGGTGACTGAGGATATACTTTCGAGTTGGGAGGGTTTTAGGGACAGCACAGGCCTCCAGAGTATTTTGGAAACAAGGTTTCCAGGATACTGAGGGGGCTAGAGGGGGCTGGCTATGGTTAGGAAAAGGTCACTTATTACTGTTTAGGAGAAACTCTGTCATGAGCCCCTTCACATGCAGATCAGTGGGCCATATTTTGGAGGATGATTGCCAACTTGTATCTTGGGGGTAGAGAAAAGGAAGTTTCCACAGGAATTTTTAAATGGTAAAGCAGACTGACAGGATCCTGGGGGGCTGGGGTAGGATTGTCCTTTGCCCTTAGGGAAGTGTCAATATTGAGGCAACTAAGCTCCCAGCGGGAGGTCATTCTGCCCATTTCAAGGACTTGTCAGTGGGCTGTCAGCAATAAGGAAATTTAATTTTTTCTCTTGTCTTTGTTTTCCACATCAGTTAGGATCTTCCAGGCAGAACCTTCTGAAGGGTGCCTGTGTGGACTCCTGCACCCTGACATGGTCCCCTTAATGTAGGTTCCACCAGGCCCCCTTGGCACAGCCTCCCGCACTGCCTGGCTAACATTTGCATGCATCTCCCAGAGGCCCCAACCCAGCTCAGGGCTCTCTTATACCCCAGTCCTCTGGGTCTTGCATTCCAGGATTTGCTAAGCAAATACATCTGAGGTCTGTGGGCAGCCCGGGCTTCCTTGCTGGGCCTGACCAGGGCTGGAGGTTATCCGCACTCCAGCAAGCAGTGGGGCTCTTTTTTTGTTTTTTGTTTTTTGTTTTTTTCCTGGGTGGACTGGAAAAATTGAGGCAGAGGGTGTCTTTCTCACAGAATGTTTTCATTGAGGCATGAAGAGCAGAACGATTCGATTCGGCCCTCGTGCCGCCCTCCTACTGGGAGATGGAGAGGGAAGGGATATCTGGCCTCCTGTTTCCTCCACGACCACAGCGGGACTCACAGGAGCACAGGGCAGCCTGCTCAACATGGCAGCAACCGCGAGCCTTGGGGAGCTTTGAAGGACCTCATGCCTGATGGGCCCTGCAAGGGATTCCGGTGAGCTGCCAAGAGTCCAGTGGTTGCAGATCAAGCCTTTGGTCCACTAGGAGAATTCAAAACAAAACAAAACAAAACAAAAGAACTTGGTCTCTTGACACCACACAAGAGAGGAAAGTGCACTGCCCCCCCACCAAGTGTTCAACCTGGAGACTAGATCCTGGGATGCCAGGATGGATGCAGTCCCTCTCAAAGAAGAGGAAGGAAGGCCCAGAGCTCAGCCAGCCAGGAGGAGGAAATACTGTGGGCTCTTCAGAGCCCATCCATGCTGGTGTCCATCTGTCTGTCCAGAGCAGAGTAGTGGAAGGGCCGGAGGTCCACTGAGAAGCTGAGAGGATGTCTAGGCAAAGAGGTGCTTGCCCAAGGGAAGCAGGACCTCCACACCAACAGGCTTGGTAGTGGGCAACACCTGGTCCCCAAAAGGCCTAGGGTAAGGAGGATGCATCTGAGAGCCTTGCGGAGAAGGCTCTACCTTGGGGTCATCACATTCTCTCCCACTCCAGCTCAAGTTCTCTCTTGGTTCACAGCTTCCTAGAAAAAGGACAGAGAGTCATCATTTCCAAGTCCCTCATCGAGGACTTTCCTCCCCTTATTTCCACTGAGAACATCCCTCACAGCTTCCTATATGTCAGGCAGCCCCAAGCAAGGAGCCAGGCCCCATTCTAGCCAATTGGATGTGTGGAAGTTGGAAATCTCAATTTATATCAAAAAATCAGTTAGCAAATCCCACTTTATTATACAAGGGTTTTTTTGTTTGTTTGCTTGTTTTTGCAAATGGAGAATTTCATCTGCAGAGCAGGAGTTGAAAAAAGAGTGTTTGAAATGTTATTCATTTTACAAAAGTCTGATTAATATTTGGTTTTTCAGGAAGAGGAAGGAAGTAGAGTGACCTCTTGCGTGCTGAGTGTGGTTGTGTAAACTGCAGACTGCACAAGGAGACCCTGCCAATACAGAGGGGAGGCATCTCACAGAAATATTTATGCCACAGGTTATTTGTACAGTTTGGTGTCTTTGTAAACCATTCATACAGATGTCTAGCAGGTGGCAGTCAACTGTTTTAACAAAATCAGTATGTTATCACAGTCTTCCAGGAGCTGGCAATCAAGTTCTCCAGGAAAGGGTACTGTTTTCTTAGTGCACAAAGCAATATATGGGCTCGTGTTGGCCCCCACTATGACCAGGAAGAGATGGGTGGGGTCAGAAAGGAAACTGGGTGGGTGGAGCTCAGAGGTCACTGCAACATCTGGGCACAGAGCAGGTAGTGTCTGGCTCCCAGGGTCATCCTGGGAAGTTCCACACCTCAGGGTCGCTGTATTCCTGGATCCAGCTGGGGTGAGGCCTGTAGGTGACCCAAACTGTCTCCGAAGTGGAGAGAAGAGAGAAGTCGAGTGGGCAGGGAGCAGACCTGGATGTAAGATGCCAAGAAAGCACATGTGAGGAGAAATGAGACAAAAAGGGGACAGTGGGAAGCCTCATGTTTCAAGGCCTCTTCCACCTGCTGTGTGACCCTGGCCAGTCATTGGCCCTCTCAAGGAAATTGCAGGAAGTCTCCTGCAGACTGCACCTCAGAGAAATGCTGGCCTGCGGACCTGTCCATTCTTGGACAGTTTTCAACTCTGACTGTGTCATTCTGTTTAAACCCTGTAATGACTCCCCAGCACCAAAAAGTCCAGCTTTGTTAGCATGGTCCCCAAGCCAGCCTGCCCTATCCCTGCCATGTCTGCCCGTGCACCTGTAAGTGCACCCCCAGGCTTCTCCCTGCCCAGACAAAGTAGACTAGAGCCTGTGATGTCTGATTCACTCCAGGGCTCCTTTTACCCCGGGAGGCCATATTCCTTAGTGCTTGACACCAAGACATTGGTGACAGACAACTTGGATTCAGATCCTGGCTCTGCCATCTCCCTACTCTGTGACTTTGGGCATGTTGCTCACCCTCTCTGTGCCTCTATGCCTGGATCATAATAACTACTCAGTAAGTTTTAGCTATTATCATTACATTCCCATTCGAATAGGGGGAAATTCCAAAGTAACTCAAAGGAGGAGCTCTCTAGCTACAGAAATGGTAGAAATCAGAGGAGTCTGACAGACTTGGCGGCTGTTGAGAGGATCTGAGTAGTAATTAGCAAGAGGGACCTCCCCCTTTCCCATGTGGAGCCTGTAGGCAGTCGCTGAATTTCTCAATCTGTCTTGCCATTTACAGGCCAGTTACACAACCTGAATCAGATGACCACAGAACTCTTACGGGAGGAGAGCCAAGGCTAGCAGAGAAAAGTCAGGCTGACACACATATCTGAGAGCCAAGGCTAGCAGGGGAAAGCCAGGCTGACACACATATCTAGCCATGGTTCAGGGGCAGAGCATATTTGGCATATCTGTTGGTCCTGGAATGAAAGGGACAGGGAGCAGACTCAACCCCAACCTGTAGCCTAAGCAGAGCTATCCCGACAACCCACAGAACTCTGACAGAGTAAAAGAAACATGTGTTCTGGAATCCACTGAGATGCGGGGGATTTTGTTATGTAGTACCAAACAGAAATTACTGACTAATACAACCAGGATCAGAGTATGATTTTGAACATCTGATTTAAAAAACACAGAGGGAGGGGCTCCTGGGTGGTTCCATCAGTTAAATGTCCAACTCTTGATTTTGGCTCAAGTTGTGATCTCAGGGTAGTGAGAGAGAACCCTGCATTGAGCTCGGCATCAGGCTCCGCGCTCAGCATGGGGTCTACCTGAGAATCTCTCCTTCTCCCTCTGCTCCTCCACTTCAATGGTTTTCTCTCTCTCTCTCCCGCAAATGAATGAATGGATGCATAAATAAATAAAAACATAAAATCTTTAAGAAACACACAAGGAGAGAGAAAGAGAAGGAGAGAAAGATATTGATGTATGGAACTTCTACCCTATAGTTGTTTTTTTTTTAAGATTTTATTTATTTATTTGATAGAGAGATCACAAGTAGGCAGGGAGGCAGGCAGAGAGAGAGGAGGAAGCAGGCTCCCCGCCAAGCAGAGAGCCCGATGCGGGGCTTGATCCCAGGACCCTGGGATCATGACCTGAGCCAAAGGTGGAGGCTTAACCCACTGAGCCACCCAGGCGCCCCTACCCTGTAGCTTTTATTCTCACTTCTTTCCTCTTTATTGGGAGGAATATCTGTTGGGGTCCAGGAGTTGCACAGGACTAGCCGATGGATGTGACAGTGTCTCTTGTGATTGTACTGTTAGGAAATGAGCAGATTTTCTCTCTTTCTGGATCTCTCTTTCTCTATGCCTAACCTTTCTGAGCTTCTCTTTTCTACCCTCTACCCTGGTGTTTGAAGCTCAGAGCAGTGAATTTGCATGGAATTGCTTAAGAACATTAACTGGTAAACTGCTTCCAGGCAGTTTCATAATCTGTTCTATAAAGGAACACCACAGATGGCATGTGTGACCTACTGACAACAGGGTTTCCCACAGCTGTGAATGTTGTTTTATTTGTTTTTATCACAGCCTGCTTCTGTATAAAGTACCTTGATTCCTAGAAGTTTATTGACCAAGGTAGCTTTGGCTGAATTGCAGTTCCACCACTCCGATGCACAGGTGGAGGCCTGGCCCCGGAATGAAGGGACTCGAGCCTGGGCCTGGCTTCCAGATGGCACTCCCAGCCCCAGGGAAGTTTCCTCACCCCCACAGCAGACCTGCCTGTGTTCTCCTGACCAAACTTGACCTTGAGCTCCTAGAGACAGAGATACGGACACTCAAAAGTCAAAGAAGTCTTGGGGCTGGAGACCAAGGAACAGAGCGAGACTAATCCCAGGATTCACTAATTGCATGACCCCAAGGGGACTGCCAACTGCCCTCTGGATTACAGGATGGGCACCTTCCCTCCCCATCATTTAATCCAAAACTTGACACATGCATCTGCCCCACTTCCTACGGCAGCTCTGAGAATCTCCTTCCCACCATACTGCTTCCCTCAACGCACCAAGTACCTACTTGCCCAGACCTCAAAGTGGGCCTGTGGCTGCTGGGGTGAGACTCTGACCCTCATCTGTCTGATACATCTCTCTGCCCACCTAGGATAGGAACAACATGGAAGGATGTCACTTAGAATGATTTGGGCATTTTTCTGACCAATGGAGGCTTGAAGCAAAGTAGATAGCTGTGTGGGTCTGTTCCAGTCGGAGAATATTTTGATAATCCAGTAAAATCGTTGTTGATGACTCCTGGCTTGGTTTGTGTTTGAAGCTGGCATTTTTCAACTGTAAATGTGTATGTATGTATGCATGTCCCTTTAAAAAAGTAGTTCAGTAAAAAATTAAGACTTGGTTCTTGTCTTTGGTCTAAAGTTCAATTTTGGGGTAAACTCTTAAAAGTTGGGGATTGAGGGGTGCCTGGGGTGGCTCAGTAGGTTAAGCATCTGCCTTCGGCTCAGGTCATAATCTCAGGGTCCTAGGATCGAGCCCTGCATCAGGCTCTCTGCTCAGCAAGGAATCTGCTTCTCCCCCGCCCTCTGTGATCTCTCTCACTCTGTCTCAAATAAATAAATAACATCTTAAAAAAAAAATTGAGGATTGAGTTCAATTTGCTTTCTCTAGAGCCCAGAAGAGTTGGTGGTACTCATTAGGTGCTCAATAAAAGTTAAAACTGATGGACTCAATAACAATGTAAAATAACCAAAAGCTACAAGCAGCTTACATTGGTAAGGACTTTTAGTTGTACCTTGGCAACAGTTTGGATCTCTTGAGGGTCACAAGGTCACACATCTGTCTAGTTTGGTTTTTAAATAGAGGTCTATTCAGAAGCTGAGAAGTCCTAGTTAATCTCTGCATATAACACTAATATCTACCAAATCATTGAGTGTTAATTACACATCGTGCATTCTGCAAAACAATTTACGTGTTGGCCTCATTAAACCTTCACAATATTATCCCTGTTTTACAGATCAGGAAATAGAGGCTTAGAAAGATCACATGTCCTAAGCATGATCACTGAGTAAGATTACGGCAGAGAAGGGAATATATGCTGGGTGGGTCTGATTCCAAAGTCCAGCTCCTAACACCCGCTCCTACTGACTCTTCCTTTACCCCTTGTAATCTTCCTGCAGACTCTTCCCAGAGCTTTTACTCCCCATGGAACTTGAGAAACATTAATCATGCTCACTGCACTTTGCCGCCTGTTTTTTTGGATCGTGGATGTCTTGGGAAGCTTATTCTGGTGCTATTTGTCTTTTGTTTGTTCTTCTTAAACATCTTGCTCATCCAATTGGAGTCTTCAGCAGGGTTCCCCCTGGGCAACAGATGAAGTAAATAGTTTGTTAATGACCTGTCCTGTGTCCTCCACTATCAGGGCCCTGCTCCAGCTCACAAGATAGACGTACCAATGCTATGTCTTTTTTTTTTTTTTAAGATTTTATTTATTTATTTGACAGGCAGAGATTACAAGTAGGCAGAGAGGAAGGCAGAGAAAGAGAGGAGGAAGCAGGCTCCCTGCCAAGCAGAGAGCCTGATGCAGGGCTCGATCCCAGGACCCTGAGATCATGACCTGAGCCGAAGGCAGAGGCTTTAACCCACTGAGCCACCCAGGCACCCTGCAATGCTATGTCTTTTAACCCTGGCTGAGCCCCAGACTTCCCACAACAAGCATTTGTTTTTATAATCAATGACCATTTATCTAAGTAACGTCATGCTAATGAGTCAACTGAAACTCAACTGAACTTTTTTAAGTTATAAGTCAATGCAATAAAGTTTAAACCCTGTGAACAAAATGCATAGTATATGCCCAAGCACAAAATTTTTAATTTCATGAAAACGCTTTCAAAAAGTTTTATAATTAAAATTGTACTTAATGTGAGAACCAGGTATGTTTTGATATATTTGATATGATATAGAGTTGGAACATCAAAAGGACCTGCTCTGCCAATAGGTGCCACTGTGGCCATGGAGAACCCCAGCCACCACCAGAACTGCCCCAAGGCAGGAGGGATGAGGTTGAGGAGGGGAGAGATACTCTTTAACCCACCTTCTGATCTCCTGCTGGTGTCTTCCATTGGCTAGCCCAACTGGCAAGAAGCCAGCAAAGGGAGCCTGGGTAATGTGACCCCCAAAGAACTTAAAAAAATACCAGTCCTGGGGTACCTGGGCAGCACAGTCGGTTGAGCCTCCAACTCTTGGTTTCGGCTCAGGTCCTGATCTCAGGGTCATGAGACTGGGCCCCACATGGGGCTCTGCACTCATTGCAGAGTCTGCTTAGGACTCACTCTCCCTCTCTCTCTGCCCCTACAAACCCCCCCACGCTTCCCCACCCCCGTGCTCATGTGCTATCTAAAAAAATAAAACTAAATAAATCTTTAAAAAACAACAACAACCAATCTTCAGGCCCTCTCAGAATGACTGTGAAGGTAAGTAATGGAGAACATGTCACACAACCCAGACAATTGATAAGTATTATAAAAAAAAGACTTTCTGGGGACAATCTATAACATAGGAATATTAGCCTGCTTATTGCACTGGTAGAAAATAATTTGTATTAAAGGAGGCCTTTGACAGAGTCCCACAATTCATTCAGCCCAGGAAATAGCCTACTTCAGGCTAGGATGCAGCATGCCTGCTAGCTCCCTTAAACTGAGACACCATCAGAGAGTAAGACATGGGAGGTGGGGGTGTACGTTCTCCCACTGCACTCAGAGAAGGGACATTCCCCAGTGAGTACAGGAAGGAGCTGATGAGAATGACACTGTGAGCACAAATAGCTCATTTCCCATTCATTGCCCCCACTAAAGACGAGAGAAGTATAAAGGGGTGGACTGTAATCACACAAACCAGAAAAGGATCCCAGTGTTGCTATGGCAGCTAAAAAGAAGGAAAATTTCCCTTAGCTGGGCCCTCCTCCCCCAGCCAAAGGAAAGAATGTGTCCCTAGTTAAGGAGAAACTTACATTATGTGAGGCTTGCTGGTGGCTTTCTTCACATTAACCAAAGGCATGGCATCTTTCAGATTTGAAGAGGCAAGAGGAGCTATAGTCAAAAGTAAAAATAGAGGAGACAAGAGTAAGGTGGCAAAATCTTGCCCATTTCAACTCATCTGTCACCTCCAAAAAGGCTTTCTTAACCCCCGAGAGAGAAGTGATCTTAATCTCTATGAGTACTTCCAACACTCTGTGTTTGCTAGTAATGTAGTACTTAATAATTTGTGCTGTGTTTTTAAGGTTAGTATCTCTGTCATCCCCTCGGCTGCAGGGGAGATTTCCTGATAGTGAGGAGCTGAGAGCTGTTTAGCTTTGAAGCCTCTAGAGCAGTGCTTCTCAAACTATCTGTAGACAATACCAGTTTTAAAGAACCGTCTTTTTAAAATCTTTTTTTGGAATCCAAATGGACTAGTACTTTTGTGACATACAATACAAGGACTTAGTAGGAAAATGACCAAGCTCTTGGATGTTATGGCTGTAAACATTTCTAAATGCTTACTTTCAACCTCTGTACTCAGTTCATTGTGAATTAGTAACAAATAGTTTGGGAACCAGCATTGGCTCACGGAGCACTCTTGGAGTAGCTCTGCCCTGGAAGAGCAGTTATTACAATAACAAAAAACTTCTGGTACAGTAGTTCTCAATCACAGCTCTCAAAAGAACCCCCCAGAGGGCTTATAAAAAGATAGATAGCTGGGTCCCACCCCCCTGAGTTAGTAGGTCTGTGGTAGGGCCAAAGAATTTTCATTCCTAACAAATCCCCAGGTGTAGAGTTTGCTGTAGGTCAGAGACCAACCTTTGGCAATCAGTGGACGAAAAGATAAGAACAAAGGTCAAGAACACTGCCCCCCCCCTTGTGGTGGCCTATCCTCAAAACAGGTAGAACGGCTAAAACTAACTGCTGACTTCACCAATGCACCCCCACTCCCCAACGAATTGGTTGGGGGCAACTAATGAGTTGTTGAACACTACATCAAAAACTAATGATGTACAACAATGAATCTTGGAACACTGCATCAAAACTAATGATGTATTTTATGGTGACTAACTTAACACACACACACAAACTAATGATGTACTATATGCTGGCTAACTGAACATAATTAAAAAAATAATAACGCAATGGTTATCAACTCCCATGTTGTGGCACACTTGCTGAGGGGCTCCAGACATAAGGAAGGTGGGAGAAGCCAGAAGGGTCCATACCTTGGGACTGTTCTGGGCCCAGTTCCTCCACAGGTGGCTGTGCAGGTGACACTGAAGGAGAACACAGGGGCAGTGTTTGAGATGTCCCCATAGATGAAGACCCCAGGGATGGCCTGAGTGACAGAGATGACTGGGAGGGTGGGGATCTTGGCGGTGATCCAGTCATTTGTACCCTCTGCTGTGGTGGTGATATATGAGACAGTGCAGGTGTGGAGCTGAGTGTTAAGGGCACAGCTGGGAGTGATACAGGGGGCAAGTCAGCTGGAGAATGTGATGGTGAGGAGGCCAGTGGAGATGCATGTGACTGCTCAAATGAAGAGACAAGTGGTGAAACAGGTGATTCTACAGGCCACTCATGTGTGGATTCAGGTGTCTGCACAGGTGAGGACACAAGTGGACTGTGGCAGCTCTTTCCTTCCCTTTCAGGAGCCCACTGTGTGTGAGGTTGTATGGATTCTTCTTGCTCTGTTTGGAGGCTTGATTGACTGCGTTCAGGGCACTCACTGCCAAGGGCAAGTTCTATATTGCTGTATACTTCCACACGGGGGAACATCACTCTCTTGGAGGGAGAATTGAGGTAAGCAGCATCTAGGAAAACAATGGCATTGAGTCACCGGTGGCATTACTAGCCCCTGGCATCAGCATGGCATTTTCAAAAAGTGATTTCCCAAGTTATTTTCATAAGCAGGATTAGTGCTTTTTAATGGCCTTTCTTTACTTAATCAAATTTATATTGAGTATTTGATTGTGTATTGATTCACTTATTCGACGGATGTTAATTGAGCAACTATATGTACCAGGCATTATACCAGGTACTGAGGAGTGAGGGAGACAAAAACAGGTGTGATGGTTCTTGGCCTCTTGGAGCTTACAGTCTGGCTTGGGGGCAGGCATTGATTATCCAAATAATCTCATTTTAACCAGGACAAGTTCTGGGTGAAAAAGGAACATGATGTTAGGAGAGAGAGAAGCAGGGAGGACTTCTTCAGGAGGGTTTCCCTGAGGGAGCAACATTTGCACTGAGATCTGAAGGGTGAGTGAGGGTCCAGGGGGTGTTGGTGTGGGATGGGGAGGAGCATTTCAGACAGTAGAAACAGCACACACAGATGCCACAGGTTTGAGGGAGAATGAGGAAGGCCTGAAAGGTCAGTGTGGTTGGAGCAGGGGTGGGGGCATGTGGTGGGAGATGGGGCTGAGGAGGCCACTGGAGCCCAACCATACTTGTAGAAACCATTGAGGGCCCTTGATTTTCACAGAGACCATGAAAGACCTACAGGCAATGGGGCTGCTGCACTGTCTCTGGCTTTGACAAGATCACTGTGACTGCTGTGTGGAGACTCGCTGAGAAGGGCCTAGAGGACCCAGGAAAATGTGTAAGGCTGTGGTGGAGAGGTGTTTAGGGCTTGCACCTGGAAGGAGAGAGAAAGAACTAGAAGATTCTATTTAGGAGGTAAAATAAATGAGAACTGGCAATGGATTGACTGGGGGGAAGAGAGGAGGGAGCTGGCTTGCACAACCAGGTGAATGCTGGTGTTGACAGGGTGAACAGGGAGGGGATGGGTTAGGGGAGCAGTGAGGAGGGCACAGGTTAAAGTTTGTTTGAGGATATGTGAATTTTAGGGGTACTTAGAGATATCCAAGGAGAGATGAAAAGTGTGGGCACTCAGATATATGGATTGGATCTCAGAGAAGAGTTGAGGGTTAGAGGTGTACATTTGGGAATCCATCTATGGATGGTCATTGAAGCTGTGAAGGTGGTCATGGAGGAGTTTGCCTAGGGAGAAAAAGCAGAGTGAGAAGAGGAGGGAGCCAGGACTGAGTGAGGAGGGGGAGAGGGGAACCCAGGCCAAGATTCTAAAATGGGCAAGACTCGGGTAGACTAGGGTAAGGATCCATTTGAGAAATGGGGATTGGATATATAAAAGAGAGATGAAATAATGGATAATTCAAGAGTGCTGAGGTGGGAAGGGGTCTGAGCACAGGTAGGGGGTGGGCTCTAGGCAAGAAAAGGGTTGCTTCCTTTAATGTTCTAAGAAGGAGAGAGACAGAGCAGGCTGAGTTTGAATATTTGGTAGTGCAAAGTTGAGAGAACTTCCCTCTGTTGGCTTTGTGTTTCTCTGTGAAGTTGTTTGGAGGAAAGGCCTTCTCCTGGTGATCAGGGAGAGGGGAAGTCTTAAGGTGGTGATTGCAGAGGAGGAGAGACTATGTTGCCAGGACAAATACAGCACAATCACATTTTATGTAGAAACTCACAAGCTAATTCTAAAATTCATATGGAATTATAAAGGACCTGGAATAGCCTAAACAACTTTTAAAGAAAAAAAAGGAACAAAGATGGAAAACTAAGACTGCCTGGTATCAAGATTTACGATAAAGCTTCAGGGATAAAGACAGTATGATATTGATGTAGAGACAGAGAAATAGATCAATTGAACAAAACAAAAGGTCTATAAATAGACCTGAGACATACAGAGACAACTGACTTTACTCAACAGAGAAAGCATAGTCTTTTAAACAAACAATGCTGGAACAGGTAGTCATCTAAATGAAAAGAAAAAAAAAAACTTTGTTTTATATCTTGAACCATATTCAAAAACTAACTCAAAATAAAATATAGACACAATAAAAAAACAAAAAGCTATAAAACTTCTAGAAGGAAACATAGGAAAAACCTTTTTGTGATCTTGAGTAAAGCAAAGATTTCTTAGATAAGACACCAAAAGCATTATCCATAAAGAAAGCAAATTAATAATATGGGCCCCATCAAAATTGAAAACTCCTTTTTAGGAGACTGTTAAAGAACTGAAAAAAGAAATCACAGACCGAGAGAAAATATTTGCAAATCATATTTCAGATAAAGGGCATTTATCAAGAATACATAAAAGCTCTTAAATAAGAAAATGACTCAATTTTTAAGCTGGGCAAAAGAGCCCACTGAGGGGTGCATGGGTGGCTCAGTAGGTTAAACCTCTGCCTTCGGCTCAGGTCATGATCTCAGGGCCCTGGGATCGAGCCCCGTGTCGGGGTCTCTGCTCAATGGGGACCCTGCTTCCCCTTCTCTCTCTGCCTGCCCCGATCTCTCTCTGTCAAATAAATAAATAAAACCTTAAAAAAAAAAAAAGAGCCCACTGAAAGAGCTCTCAATGGCCAAAGGAAATCTGAATATACAGACTTCAGTTAATAATAACCAACATTAGTACATTAATTGTCAACACTACACTAGACTATGTACCGAATTTTATATGTACCATACTATAACTTCTAACAAATATAAAACATAATAATACGGAATGTGGAGTACATAGAAGCTCTTCATGCTATTTTCACATTTTTTTCTGTAAATCTAAAATTATTCTTAAAAATAAAGCTTATTATAGGTCTGGGTGGGAAATGATCAAAAGAATTGAACCCTTCAACAAAGATGATATATAGATGGCAAATAAGCATATGAAAAGCTGCTCAACATTATTAGTCATTTAGTAAATACAAATTAAAATCACAATCAGATGCCATCACACAACTATTCACATGGCTGTAATTAGGAAGACTGACCATTTCAAGTGTTGGTGATAATATGAAGAAACTGGAACTCTTATGCATTGCTGATGAGAACGTAAAATGGTACAACCACTTCAAAAAATAATTTGGCAGTTTCTTAAAAAGTTAAACATACCTTCTGGGTATATGCCCTTAGTATATATCCCAAAGAATTGAAAATAAGACATTTGGAAACCTGAGCTAAGAAGAAGAAACAATTCAAATTGTTCTTCAGTAAAGAAAATGCGGTATGCACACAGGTGTATGTCACATGCTACAAAATGGATAAGCCTGGAGGACATTATGATAGCAAAATACACCAGTCACAAAAAGTCAAGTACTGTGTGGTTCCATTGATATGAGGTATCTGAATAGTCCATCTCCTAGAAGTAGAAAATAGAGTGGTGGTAGCCAGGGCCTAGGAAAAGGAGAAACGTGGAATCACTGAGTGATGGGTATAGAGTCTCAGTTTTGCAAGAGGAAAAAGTCCTGGAGATTGGTTGTACAGTGTAAATATACTTAACACAACTGAACTGTACACTTAAAAATGGTTAAGATGGTGGAACACTTGGCTGGCTCAGTTGAAAGAGCGTGAAACTCTTGATCTCAGGGTTGTGAGTTTGAGCTCCACATGAGGCGTAGAGATCACTTAAAAATAAAAAGTCTTTAAAAACTGCTTAAGATGGTAAATTTTATGTTATGTGTTTTACCCTAATTATACATATATATATATAATTGTATATTACATAAGTATAGGTTAAATGTACATCCACCATACCATCTAAACATTCCACTCCTCAGTATTTACTCAAGAGAAAGGAAAGCATAAGTTCATACAAAGACTCCATGAGTATTCACAGCAGCTTTATACATAATAGCTCAAACTGGATACCAACTAGATGTCCATTAATGGGTGAGTGGAGAAATGAACTGTGGGGTTTTCATAGATGGAGTGGAATGTAGAAAGGAATGAACTATTTATACACGCAATAACATGATGAATCTCAGCATGATTATACTGAGTGAAAGAATGCAGACAAAATCAAGCCCATACTGTAAGTCCATACTGGAAATTTCTAGAATGACAGAAAGTAGATTGGGGGCACTGAGGGAAAGTGGGAAGGGTCACAAAGGAGCATGAAGACGACCTTGGGCATGATGGATAATGGTTCACTCTCTTGATTGTGGTGTTGATTTCACAGGTGTGTGTGTGTGTGTGAAAGTGAGAGAGCGGGAACTTAACAAATTGTGTGAGCGAGGAAGGGTGCAAGAGAAGGAAGAATGCCAGGAAGGAAGGAAGGAAGGAAGGAAGGAAGGAAGGGGGGAGAGGGAGGAAGGGAAGGGAGGGAAGAGAAGGAGGAAGGAAGGTCTGGCCAGGCACGCCTGGATGCCAGATGGATAATTTTAGACATGACATCCTTTGAGCTCCAACCTCACTCAACGCCCACATCCACATGTCTGTGTGGGGAATGTGGATTTTCAAGCATACCAGCAAGCAGTGCCCTTCCCTTTGGCAGGAGGCTGCTGCCTGGGGAGGCCAAGGGTGGAGGGAGAAGCTCGCCTGGCAGCAGGAATAATTAGGCAGATGTGAGTCCTGAGAAGGGCAGAAAAGGGGGATGCCAGGATGTGAGCTGAAGAATTCAGGGTGACATCTTGCAGGTGTGGCCTTCTGCCAGAGCTGACCCCCATCCAGAAAGCAGTAGGGTAGGAGGCTGGAGCGGACTCCCGTTTTTCTGTTCCCAGATGGCAGGTGGGAATTAAGAGTGTGGCTCTGGGCACCAGCCGCAATTTCTCAGGATGCGTCATACCTTCTGCTTGCATCTGGTGCGGAGAGGAAAATCCAGTCCTACCAAACCCAAGAGGATTTAGGGGTGGGGCTGAAGGAACCTGCGCTGAGAGAGCCATGCAAACACTGGCAATTTGGAAGGGGAATCGAAAATAGCTGGTAGCCAGCTTCTTCCTTATGAGTTGGGTCAGTTCCTGCTTGGAGTGATTCTAGGGCCCTGAAAAAACCCACCATCCTCCATACACTGCCCTGATTCTTCAGCAGATGCCAAAATGCTCCTATTAGAGTCTCACCCTTGGGTTTAAAACTGTCATTTATACAACGGCGTCCACATCAACTTAAGGGGGAAGGGTGGGGAAGCACGAGACATCGCTGGGAAAGACCAGAGATGCTAAAGCAAGGCACTTTGTAACTTACCCACCCACTGACACCCCCCCCCCCCCCCGCCCCGGGCTTGCCCTGAGAGAAAGAGAAAGAAGTTCTAGGAGAGAGACAGGGACATTTGGTAACCAGGCAGCCAGGTGCAGAGGGGTCTTCTGAGGCAAGGATTATGTCCCAAGTCCCGGTTTCAAATCAGGGGATCCTCCAACCCCATGTCCCCAGTATACACCACAACTGAGGAAAGAGTGAAGGGGCTTCCCAGCTGGGGGTGGAAAGGACCTCAGGCCCTTGACAGCCCCTCCTCTTCCTGAGACTCCGTAGGTGAGACCTCATCCCTACCCCCCACTGACACTCCTCACGTGGTCCCCCTTTTGGGCACTTGGAGCTTAATTTTCACAGCTGTCACCCATGTAAATGTGTAGGAGGTGGGGAGCTATTCAAGTAGAGTCAGGGTCAGGAGGAGTCTGTCCAGCAGAAAGGCGAGAGGAGGGCCCTGTCTCCTAGATCAGAGGGTCAGTGGGCTGGATTGACTGTGTCCAGGAATAAAATTCTGAGGTGGGTTCCATGATCAGCCCTATTATACAGATGAGAAAACCGAGGTCCCAGGAGATGAATCCCTGGTTCAAGATCACACAGTTAGTAGGTGTCAGGAACCAAGATTTACCTTTTTTACAGATTAGGAACCAAGACAGAGAGGGCAGGTGATTTCCCTGAGTTCACACAGCCAAGGGGGATGAGAATCATGGCCCAGGCCTAATTGCCTCCAGAACCCACATTCCTTCCATCCTTCTCTCCTGCTCCTCCCATCCCCCAACCTTGTCCAGAGAATGGTCCCACCTCGTACTTACTCAGTCGCCTCAAATAAGAAACGGTGTCTTCATAACCTCGGTAGTAATAGTTGTGCAGGATCTGCAAGGGGGGAGAGCAGGACAATGACAAAGGCTGCAGCAATGGAGAGAGCTGAGGTCCCCTACCCCAGAGCAGCTCCTTTCATTGCCTTTGATCTTTATTCAATGGATTTTTAAAATGAACCCATCCAGTGTCCCATCCCTCACTATCTGCTAAGAAGTGGGGAGCAGTTATGATCTTGTGTCCATTAATGTGGCGGGTCATTAATGTGTTAAATAATTTACAGCTGATCATCAGCTTCCCCTGGGCAGGAGAGGGTGAGATGTTTGTAGTAGAACCAGAAAAGGTGCACGAGGGCCATATGAAGAGCCGAGTTTAAATCCCAGTGCTGTTATTTTTTAGCTGTGCGGCTCTATGGCTGTAACCTCTCACGTCCTCAGTTTCTTCACCTGTAAAATGGGAACAATGGTCGTATCTATTGCAAAGGATGCTAGAGGGTTTCATGAGATATTGCTCACAAAGCTTTTCCATAAAGGGCCAGAGAGTAATATTTGGGGTTTTGAACACCACAGATAGTCTCTGTCTTTTCTTCTCATTCTTCTTGTTCTTCTTGTTCTTGTCTTCCTCCTCCTTCTCCTCCTCCTTCATCTTCTTCTTCCCTCTTCCTTCTCGTCCTCCTTTTCCTTCTTCCTCTTCTTTTCCCTCTCTTTCTCCTACTTCTACAACCATCTAAAAAATGGAGAGCCCATTCTGAGCTCACAGGCTATATAGAAACAAACCACCTTGAGAATGAAAGTCAAGCACTGATGGTGAGCAGAAAGTCAAGTTCGAGAGGCTCTGATGAATACAATGTATTTATTCTGTCTTTCTTGAACTGCCTGTTGGTGGATTGCTTTTATGAGAGTAAATAGTCATACTCTTTACCAATAAATTAGTGTAAGGCAGATGCTGGAATTCCTAACGTAGTTGGAAAACAAAGAGTCAATCACATTAATAAAATATCTTGTGTATCCATTGCCTGACTAAGCATAATAGTGTTTTGATTATGAGTTTTGTAAATAATAATTAGACTGTAAGTCACAAAACTGGCTTAGAGGAGTTATCATTCAAACAACAATTGTTGAGAACCTTCTATAAGCAAAGTCTTTTGTAGACATAGTGAATGTAGTCAAAGAAATGAGTAAAACTTGTTGCCTACTCCCAGGATCACACTTCGTGCCAAAGAAAGACATGCATTTTGTAAAGACATATAGACTTAATTTTTTTAGAGCAGTTTTGGAAAGGTTATGATCTCGGGGTGCTGGGATTGAGCCCCGCCCGAGTCAGGCTCTTGGCTCAGTGCTCAGTGGGGAGTCTGCTTCTCCCTCTCTCTGTGCCCCTCCCCCTCACTCGTGCTGTCTTTCTATCAAAAGAAATAAAATAAAATATTTTTTAAAAAGTAAAATAAAATTGAAAACAAACCCCAAAACACAAGCCACTGGCTGGATTTGGCCCGTGGGCCATGGTTGCTGAAGCCTACATTGCACGTCAGAGTGGGAAAGTTCCAGTAATGTCCTATCAGCAGTTCTGTCATCATCTCCTTTTACAGGGGAGAAAACTGAGGCTGGGAGCACTTAAGGGCCTCATTCAAGGTCACACAGCTAGTTAGGCACAAATCCAGGATGCAGGTTTAGGAGGAAGTCTAAGGAGGCACGGATGGAACTGCATAGATCCCATTGGCTCCCACAGGCCCTGTCAGCTTCCCCCAGTTCCCCTTCCTTCCAGGCCCCTCGTCTCACCAGTAGGTCCGGCGGGAACAGGGCATGGGTCATCCTGGCGATGTTCTCCAGGGAGAACTGGAAGGAGCAGTTGAACATGCGGAAGTCATGGAAGATGGCAGGGCAGTCCCGGGGGCAGATGTCTTGCTGCCCGCTGAAGGTGGAGATGGTAATGGCATCGGTCCAGAAAGAGCAGGGCTGCATGCCCGTGAAGCCCCCGTCGATGTAACGCTATGGGTGGGTGGGACAGAGTCGTAAATGCTAATGGGCTCAGAGAGGTCCTCTTCCCTATTCAGGGAGTCCACCAAGGAAATGGGTCCCTTGGGACAAGCCTGGAGAGCAAGGTCCAGGTGGGTGCATGGTGTGTCCACAGTGGCCCCTGAACTCCCAGCCCAAGGCTCTGTCCCTACACTGCCTCCCCTCAGCCATCTTGAAGGTTCTGAGCCAGGGGAGGGAGGGGCATTCATACTCTGGATAAAGCAGGAGCACATGCTCCCCCATCCCAGCTGCCCTTCCTCAGCCACTCAACTGCTAAAAGCAGGGCAGGGGGAATAGAGCCTGTTCCCATGGTCTTTCCAGAAGGTGAACCCATGGTGGATCTGAGCAGGTTGGGCACTATCCCCTCTTCCAGACTGCTGTGAGTCCAAACTGTCCCCCTCTGTTGAGGTCGGGTATCCTCAGCACTTTCCAGAACACCCCCAACCATGGTCTGGCCACCAGCCACCACATAGCCCTTCCCTCTTGGGGCTTCTGTTGCCTCAGCTGTGAACAAAGGACCACAGATTCTGAGGTTCTAACTCTCTGGGGTGCCTGAGAAGCACACGGGTGACATGAGCAGTATGTGCTCCATCTCCTAGAGGATCCAGGATTCAGGAGTCCAGAATCCTGATTTCTGGACTCATTTTCTCATTTTCTTTCTATATAAAATGAGGAAGGGGCATGTGTTAGATACACGTACTCAGAGCACGGTCTGAGGACCAGCAGCCCTAGCCAAAGCTGGTTGGAGATAGGCAGAGTCTCTGGCTCCGCTCTAGGCCTAGGGGATCAGAACTTGCATTGTTTTACAAGACCTTCCCCCTCCTCAACCGGTGATTCAAGTGCATTAGCCTAGATGACTTTAAAGGTCGCCATCATTCACGGTTCCGGGTACCACTGTCACAGGGTCTGTATTCTATGCTCTCTGTCAAGTACGGTAAATTCCAGCAAGGCTATGGAGTCTTGACTAGCCAGGCTCAGTATTGGGTTGGTGGGCCCAGAGAGAAGCCCAGTGTATGGAAGGAAAGTTCATCTGAAAGCCCCAGAAATCCATCTCTACTGGGAATTCTAAGTAGAAAAACACAAGAATATTACCACCTCTTGGTCTTCCCACTGAATTCTAAGACCACCCCTCTACTCTCCCAGATGTGGGCCACAGGGCACTCCCAGGTCGCTGCTCACCCTCTCCCATACTGAAGAACTCACCACGCCACGGTAAGTTGGGGGGATGAGACCACAGTACACAGGGACAAAGCAGCCGCAGTAGAGGGCCTGTAGGGAGAGAACCCGAGGAGAGTGAGGCTCTTGTGGCTGGGTGGGGAGGGCTCACCAGCAGGCCTCTGGGGCACCACCAACCTGGTCCTTCTTAAATCCAAGGCGGAGGCACTGCCCTGGGGAGCCGAGCCCCAAGTTCAATTCCTGGCCTGGCCCCAAAGAGCTGGGTCCTTGTTAACCTACTTGGTAGTCTGGACCCATGTCCTAGCTGTAAAGAGATAAGGCAGCCTCAGTGACCTCCAGGGTCCCTTCTGGCACCATATCTCCATGAATCTAGCGGAATTCAACAGCCATTAATGTGTGTGTGGCCAGGGCCAGGCTCTGGGACCAAAGGAGAGTGAGATGCGCCCACTTGGGAATGCTCGACAGGGGAGAGTAAGGAAGAAGGTGATGGTACACAGGGTGACAGGGGCTAGGATAGAGGTGAACGTGGGCATTGCGGCCTCTAAGGAGGAGCACCCAACCCAGGAGAGTGTGGGACAGGCAGATATTGAAGGGAAGTTCCCAGGCAGAGTGACTAGTCTTGTCAAGCCCGTGAAGTGAGCTGGGAAGGAGGGAAGGGCTTTCCAGGCAGAAGTCACGGCAAGTACAAAGGTCCAGAGGTCTGTTTTGTGTGTGGTTTGCTCTGGTTGGCAGAAGTAAGAGCAGAAGCTGACAGGAGGTAGAAGGGAGAGAAAAGTCTCAAAGAGCTGAGTGCTAAAAAATGCAGAGGGACATGAGGTAAGTTGAGGAGGTGTCCGTGCCTACTGCCCATTCATTCCCCCAGCCCCAGGATCATGGTCATGCCTGCATGGGGCTGTGAGGCTGCATGGCAAGTGTCTTGTATTCGGGAGAGAAGAGGCGAGTGGGGATATGGGAGGGAAGGTCATGCCACTTAACACTTTTGTCCTGAAAGAAAACTGGGCATATCCACAGCACTTGCCAACAATAATAACTCACAACTAAGATTTATATTAATGAGCACAGAATGGTGCACAGAGCTCCCTATGTGATAACGCATTTGGTGATAATTCAGTCTTTTTATCAAGAGCCATTGGGAGAGAAGGGACAGAATGAAGGGCTGGTTCCACAAACTGGGATCTACTCCCTGGTCCGCCCCCACACTCCTCTACTACAATACCCGGGCCCTGCCCCCACCCCAGGGCCTCACCCCTGCACCCTGGGCCTCGCCCCTTGCCTCAATGAGCTCTTCCTTGGATGTGTACTCTGAAACCACGACACTCTCTCCATCTGTGAACCGGGTTAGGGACACGTGGAGCTTCCCTGTGGCGGCCTTGTAGGAGTCCTCCGGCAGGACCCTGTACAGAAACTGTCGCATCATCTGCACCATCTTGCAGGATGGCGACAAGGGCCCCAGGAAGGATTTCTTCACTTCTGCGACACCGACGTTGAGGACTCTGAGGTACTCATCTGTGGAGGAAGCAGAGAAGAGAGGGCAGGTCAGCAGCCCTCCACCTTGTCCTACACCCGACAGAGGAAACCCCAAGAATTCTGAAGCAGGGCTGGTCTCAGGGATCCACCTGTCATTCTGCACACATGGAAAGCAAAGCACAGGAGAATTAAATCACTGCTCATCAATGGCAGAACTAGAGCCAGCCGGGGTGCCTGGGTGGCTCTGTGGGTTAAAGCCTCTGCCTTCAGCTCAGGTCATGATCCCAGGGTCCTGGGATCGAGCCCCACATCGGGCTTTCTGCTCCACGGGGAGCCTGCATCCTCCTCTCTCTCTCTCTGCCTTCCTCTCTGCCTACTTGTGATCTCTGTCTGATAAATAAATAAAATCTTAAAAAAAAAAAAAAAAAAACTAGAGCCAGCCATCCGGACTGAAGACAAAGGACCACTTGCCTACCCTACACTGTCTTTCCCCAGCTTGCCTGGAAATCTACCACCAGACTACATTCTTCTGGGGCCTCAGAGGGTTTTTTGCCTCATATGAGATTCCTATTAAAACACTGGTACAACTGAAAGCCCTCACCAATGGATACCCTGTGACCCTTTGCTTGGGGCCCACCAAATCTGTGGGCAGGGAAAGGGGACTGGCCCTGAGGCAGGTCACCTACAGGGATGGGTGACCTGTGTCTTGAAACCATGGCCTCCAACTAATCTTTAGAGCCCCTGGCACAGTCCTGAGGGAGAGAAGGCCAAGAGGTATGGAGCACAAGCTAAGCCAGGCCAAGCTGCAGGTGTCTCCAGGACAGGAAGAAGAAGCTTCTCCCTCTTTCTAAGGGGAGCACAGCAGGGTCACATGAGGGCCTACATGTGCCAGGTAGGGCTTAGAGGGTGGATGTGTTGTTCAGGGGATCACAGAGGAAGGTGTAACCTATCCCCCACCCAGTACCCAGAATTCCCCTGGGGAAGTTCGGGCTGTAAGTTTGATGAGAATTGCTCTCCTGCCAGATCTCATAGCAATACTATGAGGTAGGCATTTCTAGCCTCATTTCACTGATCAGGAGACTGAGGTTCAGAGAGATAATATAACTTGCCCAAGGTCAACCACCTGGTGAGTGAACAAAGTGGGAATTTAACCTAGAATGTGTGACCCCAGAACACATCTCCTTCCACTACAGTAGGCCACAGGCTTCTAGAGCTGGGCCTGTACCTGTTCCTTGCCTGTTGCTGCTAATCACTACCCTGTGCAAGCCCTCCGGCAAAATTAGAAGCTCTGAAAAGGATTGCTAACTTTTTTAAATGAATATTTAACTGTAGAACATCCTATGCTGAAGAACACTCTTACAAGTAATGTCATGTAGATGTGGTTATTTGGGAAGTGATGCAGTCATGAACTCTCTGCCACTGGAGGCAATCAAGCAGAGGTGGGACAAGTACCTCAGTGAGAGAACTTATCGAAGGGATTCCTGCATAAGCGTGAAGATTCTTTACATCATGGAGATTCCAAGATTCTTACAGGTGCCTGACAATATATCTGGGGAGTCATCACTGTGGGCATTATTTTCCCATTTACAAATAGAGCCACTGAGGCCCAAAGTCACACACAGCAATTTGGAGACAAGCCAAAGCCAGGGCGGTTCTCCTCTTCTGTGTTTTACAGTTCACAGATGATTCCTCCTTAACCCTGGAGATGGGTAGGATGAAGAGCTTCACCGTCATTTTACAGATGTAGAGACTGAAGCAGAGAAAAGCTAAGTGCCTTGCCCGAGGTCAGACAGCCTGACGATGTTTGTTCTGACTCTAAATCCCACCTTCTTTCCCTGCACTTTGGACTGATCCCAGAGTCTGAGAAAGCCTGGGTTGCCATGGTGACCGTCTTTTTTTTTCCCCTCCCACACCAACAATCAGAATCACACCACCTATGTGTAGTAGGGACGGACCTGAGCAAGACAGCATCTCGGCTTTCACCCTGTTATAGGAGAGGGTGCTCCCAGGAGGTGAGAAGGTGTGATTTTAGCAAGGTCAGCTTTACTGTGTCCCAACTTGTACCCACAGTGTTTTCCCTCAAGGGAGACCGATGGCCAACTCACCGTCGTTATGTAGTTACGAAGCAACTGTGCATTTGGATACCAAGGGGCTGGGTCACTGAGTTCTCGCCCCACAAGACCAGTGAGGATGGGAAGTCAAACCAGGGTGGGGACACGCCATTTTGGGAATTCTTAATGAGCAGCTTGAGTGGCCTTGCATGGGTTGGTGGCCTTTCCCACAATGCCTCTGAGCCAGGAGCACCTGGTTCAGCTCATCCCTCTGCACCTGTACTCCCCACGGGAGATGCTCGATGGGACGGATGGAAGGAGATTTGTTCCCATTGCACAAGAAATACATATTCCTTGGGGGAAAAATAATTTTTGAAAATGCAGATATGGGGGCACCTGGGTGGCTCAGTTGGTTAAGTATCTGTTTCTGGCTCAGGTCATGATCTCAGTGTTCTGGGATCGAGCCCCACATCAGGCTTCCTGCTCAGTGGGGAGTCTGCATCTCCCTTTTCCTCTCCCTCTGGCCCTCTCCCCCAGCTTGTGTTCTCTCTTTGTCTCAAATAAATAAAAAAATCTTTTTTAAAAATGCAGATATGCAAAAAGAAAAAAATTAAAGTGTCTTGGAATCCCTTCAACCAGAGATCAACATCCCATTTATGTCTTTCTAGACTATATGTTACTTACCTATAAGAATACTTACATGAAGTCATACTATATATATTATTTTGTAACTTGTTTTTTTTAACCTAATAAATCATGTCTTTCCACATCAATAAGTGCCTATTTATAACCCAATTTACAAGCAGCATGGAAAGCTATTGTAAGGTTATCCCATTATTTGCTGAGCAGGTGCCCAGGAGGGGTTGGCTATGTAGTCTGTTTCTTTGCTTTTCTAAACAATGCTGCAGGGAATAATCTTGTGCTAATTTTTTTTTCTCCCCTATGTCCTTAATAATTGTCCTCAAGATAAATTCCTAGAGATGGGAATGCTAGGTCAAAGGCATGCATATTTTGTCTTGTACTGCTTGTTTTAATCGTGGCTTTTATATAGCATCCATTTACAGTCCGCTCTTAGCTCATCAGGAGTGGTGATGGGTGACAGGGACAAAGCAGTGGCCAAGACAATAGGAATAGTACAGAAATCTCCAGAATATTCCCATTGGAAAAAGTGGTGCTGTCTAGAAATTAGCAGCCGTCTAGCCACGATCATGTAATCAGAGAGGGAGGGGACAAGAGATTGTCTGACTTCTCCCACTCAGGTGCCCAGCTTCACATTCTCTCCTGCTGCTCCCTGGGGCTGTGGAGCAAAGGCTGCCTTTAACCCTAGCTCTCTGTGCTCCTTTTCAGGTCTCTCCCTGTGCCTCTGTCTTCAGAGTCTCCAACCATCCCTTTCTCTGTCTCTCTTTGTCTCTTCCTTCCTTCTTTCTTTCTTTCTTTTTTTTTTTTTTTCAAGATTATTTATTTATGTGTCTGGGAGAGAAACTACAGAGGGAGAGGAAGAAGCAGACTCTCTGCCAAGCAGAGAACCTGATGCGGGACTCGAGCCCAGGACCCTGAGATCATGACCTGAGCCAGAGGCAGATGCTTAGATGTATCTCTTCCTTCTTTCTCTCTCTTTTCCCAGCCAAGGGAGAAGCAACTAATCTTCTGGTTAAACAAGACTCTGTCGGTAGAAAGTCAAGTGTTAAGCATAGCAATTGCTGGGTTCTGGGAGAAGGGATAAATTTAGCTTGCTTCTTTATGCATCTCTGTACTTTCCAGCACCTTCTCCCATTTAAAGGCCTCCTTCCAAGCTGCAGGCTGCCGGGCTCTGAGACACAGTATCCCACACTGACCACAGCAAGATGGGATTTAAAAGCAGCACCACGGGGGACTCTAGGTTGGCTCTCCCACCCCCAACCCACGCTTGCTACATACACTTCTGCTTCCTCCCACCTCCTTTCACACCTTTTATCATCTAAGTGCGCTCTGTCTCCTAAGCCAAGAAGAAGATTCTCTGGGGGAAGATCCTTATGGTCCTCCCCTCTCTAAGTCCTATCACTGTGCTTTGCCTAGGGAAGGCCCTTCAGAAACCTTTGTTATAAGCTGGGAGCTCCTCGAGGGCAAGGACAGACCATATTCACCTTTGCCTACCAAGCCTCCCATGACCCTGGGTGGGTGCCCAGTGTTTGTTCAATAAAACCTGACAGGGTGGAAAAGCAAGTGATGGAGGTGTTCACAGGGAAGAGCTACTCAATGTCATTACCCAGTAAAAGCTTGAAGGCAAGATAATCCCAGATAGATGAATAGATAACCAGGCCAACTGTGTTGGTACCTGTGGCCAATTCATCAAATTTATGAGCCCATTGTGCCAAGAATTTCAATAGAAAAATAAATAAGATCCAGGACTAGGAGATTTAAAGGGCATTTGGAAGCCACTCCAGGTCTCAGCCACTCAGAGAGTTTTGACTCTTTTCTAGGACCAGACCCATTTCACGGAACAAGCTCAGGCTGTGGAGCCAGGGGACATGATTGAAATCCCAGCTTCACCACATACCATCCGAGCCATCATCAGCAAGTCAAATTAACTTCTTCTGGTCTCAATTTTACCACCTATAAAATGGGAATAATAATACCTTCAGTGGGTGGTTAGGAGGCAGATCGGTTTTTTTTTTAAAGCACCTGCACGTAGTATGTGCTCGCTATCAGTCAGGTTATGTCAGTAATTTTCCTCGTGACCATGGAGAAGTCTTCTTGATGTTTCTGGCTTTTGGCTTTCTCACCTGAACAGGGAACAGTGATTCTTGACCCATATTTTTTTTTAAAGATTTTATTTATTTGACAGAGAGAGATCACAAGTAGAGAGAGAGAGAGGAGGAAGCAGGCTCCCTGCCTAGCAGAGAGCCTGATGTGGGACTCGATCCCAGGACCCTGAGATCATGACCTGAGCTGAAGGCAGAGGCTTAACCCACTGAGCCACCCAGGCAGCCCCTTTGCCCCATATTTTTA